ACCCACTGCAGGAGCTCGAGGGAGACGATGACTTGGCCGGTGCGCACCACCGCCTCCGCACCACCGCCTCCGCACCACAGCCTCCGCAGCCAACGCTACTGCGACAGCACCCGCCACCGCAAGCACCACAGCCAACACCAGCCTCCGCCTCCGCCTCCGCCTCCGCCTCCGCCTCCGCCTCCGCCTCCGCCTCCGCCTCCGCCTCCGCCTCCGCCTCCGCCTCCGCCTCCGCCACCGCCACCGCCGCCGCCGCCGCCGCCGCCGCCGCCGCCGCCGCCGCCGCCGCCGCCGCCGCCGCCGCGCCGCCACCGCCGCCACGCCACCGCTGATACTCTCGCCGCGGCCAGGCTGCAGGCAGGCGTGGCACCTCTCGTGACGCCTCTCCCTTGTGCCCAGGCGCGCTCGCGAAGTTCCACGCGGCGATCGAGATGCTCCCGTCTGCCCCGGACGCACACGCGCCTAGATGCGGCTACAGACCCGCGCACCCCCCCTCCCGCTCGAGAAGGCGCGTCTCGGCTGTGTATGCGCGTCTCGGCTGTGTATGCGCGTCTCGGCTGTGTATGCGCGTCTCGGCTGTGTATGCGCGTCTCGGCTGTGTATGCGCGTCTCGGCTGTGTATGCTTGTCTGACCTGATCTTGTGTATTACCTGACCGCAGGCCTACTTCAGCCTCTCGCGCGCGCAGTCGCGGCAGGAGACGGAGCAGGCGCCCGCGTCGCACAAGCGGCGGCGGAGCGGCGAGGAGTGCTCCGACGACGAGGCGGAGCTGATGGGCTCGTACCTCCCCGAGGCCAGCCTCGAGGAGCCAAAGGGCCGCGAGGAGTTCGCGCAGTCGTTTTGCGACGCGCTGTCGGAGTCGAGGGCGTCGGGCGCCTCCTCCACGGCGACGGTTGAGACGGCTGCGGCGCCGTCCCCGTACGAGGCGGAGGAGAGAGCCGAGATCTCGTCGAGACTCGCCCGCGGGGGGCGCTGTGCGGGGGAGGCGGAAGCGTGGGGCCCGCCCCCCCCTCTCCTCCTCCTTTCCCCACGCAGGTTGCAACGGAGAGCTGGTTCGAGCGCTGCGGCGGCACCGCTATGCCTCCGCCCTTGCCGGGCACAGGGCGAGCCAGCACACAGGCGCGCCCGCTGCCCTATCCGCCCGGCGCACGAGTACACGGGCACACGGGTGGTGAGCGCAACACGTCTGAGCGCGGCCGCGTGGCGCTGCCGCAGGCGCACCTAATGGGCCTTGCGCGCTTCCCCGAGGGGGTGCACGGCGAGCGCGAGGAGGCGGAGGCGCAGGAGTCCTTTCGCGAGGCACCACCGCCGGCCAGGTCGGTCGTCCTGTGGCTGTCCGAGGTGACCGAGTGGCAGCCGTGGGAGCGCCACTTCGGCGACACAGAAGAGGCGGAGCGGCGGCCGTGGACGGCCAAGGAGGACGAGATCATCGTGGCCGCCGACGAGGCCGAGATCATCGCCTCGCTGCCGAAGCTGCAGGGCCGCTCGGACGACGCGGTCCGCAACCGCTGGTCCAGCCTCATGTTCAGAGATGAGGACGGGCCCGAGGTTTGGGGAGAGGAGGAGGAGGAGGAGCTCGAGCTCGGGCGAGTGGAGCGGCTCGCCAGTCGCACCGCCACCCCGGCCGCGATGGCGCAGACACCGGTGTCCCGCTCACACCGCCGCACCTCCCGGCGACACTTCCGAGACCCTTCCGAGACACCTCCCGCGCTTTCCTCAGGTGCCGCGCGCCGAGAGTTCTGCCCTCGTCCGCCGGCCGCGCACACCGTGGACGCCGCAGGCCTGCTCCCCCCCACGTGCACTGGGCCTTGTGCACTGGGCCTTGCCTGTGGGGCTCCTGCCTGTGGGGCTCCTGCCTGTGGGGCTCCTGCCTGTGGGGCTCCTGCCTGTCTGGTGTGGAGAGGCGAGGGCCGCCTCCCCCCCCCCCCCCCCCTCACCCCAGAATGCCCTCTGCCCTACACCGCAGGAGGACAAGATCCTCCGCAAGGGGGTGCAGCAGCTCAAGGGGCGCGGCGGCGGCGGCTCTGGCGGCGAGGGTGCGGCGGCAGGCTGGAGCGCGACAACTCGGCTGCCGCAGCCAACGCCGCTGCCGCGAACCGACGCCGCCGCCCCGCCGGCGGCACCAGCGGTTGCGCGAGGCAAGCCGGGGCCGAAGGAGCTGTTGCGGCTCGCCAAGCGGGCGAAGAAGACGCAGGAGGAGGAGGAGGAGGAGGAGGAGGAGGCGGAGGAGGAGGAGGAGGGGATCGACAACGAGGAGGAGGCACCGAGACGGTCGGCGAGCTCGTCGGCGAGCTCAGAGCTGCGGTGGAAGGTCCCTCCCGGCGGATCGCTGCTCCTCGAGTCCGTCTACAGCCGCGAGCCGTACCCGTCCGCGCCTACTCGCGCCTCGCTGGCGGAGCAGCTGCAGACGACTCCCCGGCGAGTGTCGACCTGGTTTCAAAGTGAGTCGCTGCGGGGCGAGGAGTCCCCACCTCTTGCCCCCACCCACTCCTCGCCCGCACCGCGCAGACAAGCGCTCGCGCGACGACCCGTGGGCACTCAAGCGGCACCAGGAGCGCTTCGAGCGGAGCAAGGAGGAGGAGGAGGAGGAGGAGGAGGGGAGCGGCGGCGAAGAGGCCCCGCGCGTGATCCTCAAGCTGGCGGGTTTCGAGGCGTGGGAGGCGGAGCAGGCGGCAGCGCTTGCTCCACCCCTGCGGCCTATCAAAGGGATGGTTCAAGAGATCAATGGATTGATCAATAGGCAGCGCGTGAGCCGTGGAGCAAGGAGGAAGACGAGAAGATCCTGGCGCTGGTGCGCACACACGGCCGCAGGTGGCGGCTGACCGGCGCGGAGGAGGCTTCCGGCGTGGCAGTGAGCGCCGCGCCGGAAGCTGCGCCGCCGCCCCCCTCCAGCAAGCGCAAGCGCGCGCGCGCGGCGCCAAAGAAGGGCGCCAAGGCGGCGAAGGTGCGCCGGGAGAAGGAGGGCCCGTCGGCGGAGATGCTCTCGGGCGGGGAGCCGGAGTCGGAGGCGAAGCAGCCAGCGGCGGCGGCGGCGAAGGGGCCGACCGCTGCTCTGGCGGCGGCGCGGGAGAAGAAGGGCGAGGCAGCGCCGCTGCCGCCGCTGCCGCAGTGGCCGCCGCCGTCTCAGGCGGCGCGCCTCGCGGTGGCGGCGTCCTACGCGCAGCTGGCGGCAGCGGCGCTCAACGTGCAGCAGGCGGCGCCTGCCGCGCCGGCCGAGGCCGGCGTCGCGCAGCGATTCGGCGGCTGGTAGGCGCTCCGCCGACGGCCACCCAACGCGAGGTCGGCCTCGAGCTGCTGACGCCATGAGGCTCGACATGAGAGACGGTTTGGTTCCGGGGGGTGTGCGCCCCCGAGAGGCGAGAGAGGCGAGGGTGAACCTCGAGAGACCCTCTGAATGGGCGCCCGCTTGCTCGCTCGACCGCCACGTCCTGCCCGAGCTACGGGCGGAGGTGTGCTCGCGGGCCGGCGCGAGGTTGCCGGAGAGCAGAGAGGGAGGACTGGAAAAAAGGTGAAGCCGGGGGTAAGCTGAGTGTGGGGAGTGTGCGAGGCTCAGGGGGCGGGGCTGGGGGTTGCCTCTCCAGTGTGCGGCCGTGAGGAGTGAGGCGCGGGTTGTGCTTGCGTCTCGGGCCTTGCGAGTCTGCGCAATGGGGGGGCGGCTTTGTGAGTGTATTGTATGCGCTTTGTGTGCGTCTCCGGGCAGGGAGCTCTGTGTTAGACGCGTGCTTTGCGAGCGGTAGTCCCGTGAGATGCGTGTTTTCTTATGTACTACGGCTACGCGTATACTATCTATAACAGATATAACTAAGACAAGGTAGATCTAGATGGGCTCCGCTGGTTGTGCGTAGATACACAGCTGAATCGTGGCTCCGTCGCCCCCCCACAATCCTTGCTCTCGTAAGTGCGCGCTCGGCGCTCCCCCTCACCCCCCTTGGCTATGAATCCTTCTGCTCGTACCTGCGACACATGCTGCGTAGCGCTACGTTTGGCACCAGGAACGTGGATTCGAGCACCGAACCGCTCATCGGGTCGGTGCGCTTGCCCATCGCGAACCACTTCTCGATGGCAGACCGCTCGTAGGTTTGGCCCGAGGCGCAGATCACCGGGTCCGTCATGACGTCGAAGGAGAGCGGGCACAAAAGCTCGGGGGGCACCTCGCTCTCTGCGGCCGGCTCGGGGGGCTGAGGTGCGCCCTGTGGCGCGGAACCCGACGCCTCGTCGGCCCCTCGCCTCGCCTCGTCCTCCAGCATCGTACTCTCCTCGAGCGCCGCAGCCAGCTGCACCTCCTCCGCCGCCGCCAACGCAGCCGCCGCTTCGGATGCCTCCACCGCCGCCCCCGCCGCTGCCTCCGCCGCTGCCTCCGCCGCGGTCTCCGCTCCCGCCTCTGGCTCCTGCGACGGCCCCGCGGCGCCACTCCCTCCGCCCTTGCCCTTCTTCTTCTTCTTGCCCTTCTTGACCTTGGCGCGCTTCTCCGCCTCCTCCTCCGCCTCGATCTCGGCCAGCAACGCGTCGCCGCGCCGCACCGCCTCCGCCTCCGCCGCGTCCTCGAGGGCGCGCACGCACTCGGAATAGCCGTTGTGGTTCGGGATAGCTTTCCTGGCGTTCGAGGCAATGCCGAGTGCGGTAGAGTTGTCCTGGGAGCGCAGCAACGTGTCTGCGCCCGCCCGCAGCAAACGGCGCACGACAGCGGGGCACCCTTCGTGGGCGGCGAACATCAGCGCGGTCCAGCCTTCGCTCCTCTGCAGGTTGACCTCCGCGCCGTGCCGAATCAGCAAGTCGACCACCCGCTCGTGGCCATGCTGGGCGGCGCCCATCAGCGCGGTGGCGCCGTCGCTGTCCTGCAAGTTGACCTCCGCGCTGTGCCGCAGCAACATCTCAACCACCCGCTCGTGGCCTTCCTGGGCAGCGGACTTCAGCGCGGTGTTGCCGCTGCTGTTCTGCATGTCGACCTGCGCGCCGCGCTGCAGCAACAGCTCGACAACCCGCGCGTGGCCGCAGGCGGTGGCGAGCATCAGCGCGGTGACGCCTTTGCTGCTCTCCATGTCAGTCTCCGCGCCGTGCTGCAGCAGCAACTCGACCACCCGCTCTTGGCCTAGGTGGGCGGCGTTCATCAGCAAAGTGAGGTCACGTTGACTCGGCATCGCGTTGACCTGACCGCCGGCTTCGAGCCACGCCAACAGCGCCGGCTCGTCGCCCGCTATAAGCGCTTGCCGGACCGCATAAAACTCAGCCTTCACCCTCGCCGCCTCACTCGCTGCCGCCTCTGCAGCCCTCGCCGCCTCTCTCACCGCCGCCTCCGCCGCCGCATGCTCCTCGAAAGTACGCACGCACTCGGCGTGGCCCTTCTCCTCGGCCCATTCCAGCGCCGTCTTGCCGCCCGCCGCCGTCGCAACGCTCGAGGAGCGCACCGCCACGTCTGCCCCCGCCTGCAGCAAGCGGCGCACGACGGCGGTCTCGCCGTTGATGGCGGCATGCGTCAGCGCGGTCCAACCGTTGCTGGTCTGATGGTCGATCGCCGCGCCTCGCTGCAACAACAGGTCAATCAGCCTCTCGTGGCCGTAGGTGGCGGCTGTCATCAGCAACGTGAGGCCGGTCGCATCACCCTCCTCGTACGTCGCGTTGACCCGCCCGCCGCCGCCGAGCCACTCCAACAGCGCCGGCTCTTCGCCATCTGCAACCGCCGACACAACCTCGGGAGGAAGCACCGCGCCGCCCTCCTCCACCGCCAACGCAGGCGAGACTGGGCGGGTGGGTGCAGACATCGCCGCCTCTGCATGCTCCTCGAGGGCGCGCACGCACTCGGCGTGGCCCTTCTCCTTGGCCATCTCCAGCGCCGTCGTGCCAAACTCATCGCGTGCTGTCATGTCTGCGCCCGCCCGCAACAGTTGGGATACGACAGCGGGATGGCCCGCGCGGGCGGCGTGCATCAGCGCGGTCAAGCCCTCACTGTCTTGCAGGTCGATGTCCGCTCCGTGCCTCCAGAGATTATATGCGACGGTGGATTGGCCGTCGAGGGCGGCGTACATCAGCGCGGTCCAGCCGTTGTTGTCCTGAAGGTCGATCTCCGCGCCGGCCCCCAGCAGCAACTCGACTACGTGATCGCGGCCGAACGAGGCGGCATTCATCAGCAGCGTGGCGTCGTCATCGTACGTCGCGTTGACCCGCCCGCCGCCGCCGAGCCACGCCAACAGTGCCGGCTCGTTGCCTTCTCGAAGCGCCGCCTTCACAGCCTCGCCAGGAAGCGCGCGGCCCTCTCCGCCTCCCTGCGGCGACGGCGCAGCCGCATCGGCCGAGGAAGCGTCGCCCGCCCCGCCCGCTGCCTGGCGTTGGTCCCTCATCTCCTCGAGGTACCTCCGAAAGGCGTCGACGCACGCGGCATTGCCGCTTCGTTTCGCCAGCTGCAGCGCCGTCTGTCCAGAATCATTTCGCATCGCCATGTCTGCGCCCGCCCGCAGCAGGCGCAGCACGACGGCGGGGCGGCCGTATTCGGCTGCGGCTAGCAGCGCTGACGCGCCGCCGACGCCGCACTGCCAGTTTACCTCCGCGCCGAGCTGCAGCAACAGGTCAACCACGTCTTCGTGGCCGCCTTCCGCGGCACACGCCAGCAGACGGTACTCGGCGCCAAACACTTCCAGCGTCTCGTTGACGTCGCCGCCGCCGGCGACCCACGCACGCACGGCCGCCTCGTCGCCGCTCTGGGCCGCATGCACGACCCCTGCGGACTGCTCGAGGAGATCAGTGTCCGCCATACCTGGTAGAGAAGCTCGCGAGTAGTCACTTTGTCGAAGGCCGCGAGGTCACGGCGGTCACGCTCGCGAGGCCGAAAGAATTGAAAAAAATAAACAACAAACCAAAAAAGACGTGATATTCACGGTGTCCAGTCGTCGTGATTGTTGCTGGTCCTTCGCCTTGCCTTCGCTACTTCATACCGCCGCCTCCCTGCCGCCGCCGCCGAGAGCCACATGTCTGATCTCCACGGCGATGCCGACCTAGGCTCTGGCGAGGCTGGCTCAGGCGACGGCGTCCCGTTGGAAAGCGAACCTTTGCCGCAGGCACTGCTGCCGATTGTTGGGATTGCTTTGGCGAGCGTTGCAGTGATCGCTGCTTGCATGGCGCACATGAGATGGAGGGGGCCAGGGCGCATCAAGGGCCGCTTGATTGATGACCAACTCGTTGAACTCGGCGGAGCCTCCACTGTGTCTGACGATCAGCTCTCGACATGAGACGAGGGCTCCAAGGCCGGTTGCAGCACCGCCCATCCCCACGACATTGCCGTTGCCCAAGCTTCGCCGATGACAGGACGGACATGACGCAAAGCCACTCCTGTCGTGTCTTCTGATTCGGATGCCCTTGCTTTGCCGCTTGTGCCTACAGTCCGCCTCGTTAGACTGGCTCTCGTCTGCCGGCGGCCTCCGGCCTGCCCCCGCGGCCCCGCACAACACAATATCTTTAAGCGAGGAAAAGGGGTAGGCCTTCTAGTCATTGAAAGAATGCACCGTCACCCTTCAAAAAAAGAGAACTGGCCCCCTGCGCTGCCGGCCAACGGCAACGCAGAAGAAGAGAGAAAGCAAAAAAATCTCGCGCGCGACCGCGAGACCAGTCGGCTCCAAGTGACCTCTCAATCCTCGTACTTTTTCACAAACGACAGCTTGACGTTGCTGGGCAAGGCAGTGTGACAGTCGTGTGTGCATGCCCGAACGAGGTCCGTCTGTGCGCGTGCGGACACGGACGGTCGGACAGTGTGTGGTGAGGCCGCACTGCACCGTCGAGCGGCGCGCCGCAACCCCGCAAGACCTCTCAGCCCGTCACTGCACCAGCTGGAGACGGAGCGCGCGTCGCCATGCCGATTCATGGGCAACAGTGTGCGACACGGCTCGCTTCGCCGACATCAGCGGGAGCTCGGGCAAGCTAAGAGCTCGACATCATCGATCGAGGGCCGCGCCCGAGTAGGGTGCTTGCACACAGCGAGGCCTCGAGAGGCTGGCGCGAGAGAGGGAAGAGGGCGTGCCAGCCGCGGGTGGAGGGGCATCTGGGGTCTCACACGTCCGGGTCCGGCGGCTCCCGCAGCTCCACGTGCGGAAACTCGTCCAGCGCCATGCTGGTCACGGCGCCGTCGCCGTCCTTGAAGAGGATGACGTTGTGCCTCGAGGGCTGCCCGCGCAGCATGTCGAACTCGACGTCGAGGAAGAGGCTCCGCTCGCCGTCCACCTCCGCAGCCTCGGCTCGGTGGCACGTCGTGAGCGAGGCGTAGCGGAAGCGGTTTGACAGGCGGCGGAGCTCCGTCATCACGTAGCGGAGCGCAGCCCGCACCTCCGGCTCCGGCGGCCACGCGACGAGCACCGAGCGGGGTGCCGCCGCGGGCTCCGCGGAGGCGCAGCAGACGGCGAGCAGAGCGACGGCGCCGATGCGGCGGGCGGACAAGCGGGGGCCTGCTCCACCAAGCATATATGTGTACTTACATTGTTGTCGAAAAGAAAGCACGGCGACGCAATCGCGGGATCCGCGACGGCGATCTTCGCCGCGCCCGGGCGGCGGGCGGCGGGTGTTGCCCGCGGTGCGGGTCGATGTGAGCTTCCTTCAGCACGAGGAAAAGAAATTTTCATCGCGGATTACTCACGCGTCTTTCCGCCTCCTCCCTCCTCTTTACACGACACTGCTTCTCTCCCGGCCTGGCCATGAAACCCGAATCCCTGTGCGCACACCCGAAACACATGAGGAAAAAAAGTGCGGGAAAAGGCTCTGGACGCAAGGGCCAAGGCGCCCGTCGCAGACGCGGTACCATTGACAAATCTGGCATATACCCCCACATGAACAAATAGCAAAAACCGAATACCATGGCGCCGTTAGAATTATCGCGTCTGCGTACACATTATTGCAATAGTCATTACAGCTGCTGGGGGCATCGAACCTAGCATCGAACTCCGCCTTGTGCGACACGCGACACCACCTCAACCCCTAGCTCAACCCATGCCCTACGTGCTGTGGGTGTGTTGGCTCCCCGAGGCAGCTCTCACTCCCCTGTCTAGCGCCCGCGCATCCCCGCCCCGCCCCGCCCCGCCCGCCCTCTCCACCTGACCCTCCCAACCAATGCCGCACTCGGCTCCGCCCTCATCCCCATCCGCGCGTGCGCTCGCCGCCCGCGCTGCCTCCTCCCCCATGCCTCCTCCCGATAGCCCCGCTCGCCACTGGGTCGATAGCCCCGCTCGCCACCGGTCCTGGGTCGTATCCGATCAGTACTGAATGCAGTCGTAATGGCTCGGTCCGTAGCAAATGCCCGTGGGGTCATTGCATACGTGGTAGTAGTTGCGTTGAGCATTTCGACTTCATCAGCATGGCGATCCTGCGACCCGCAATCCTGAAGGGGACCAGTCGGAGTTGTAGCAAGTCATGATTGTGCATCCGTGCCTGCACCCGGTCCTCTGAATGTAGAGGGGATCGTCGGGGTACACCTCGATGTTGCAACGATCGATGCAACTGCTGACGTCGTAGTCGCTTCCGAGTTCATACCGCCCCTCCGAAGTCCCGACTCCGGGATACACTTTTCCAACAAAGGCTTTGCAGCCACGTTTGACATACCAGTGGGTCCAAGGTAGGTTACTAAAGTAAGCCTCCTCACAAGCCTCATAAATGCTCGTGTACGCGGCTCGAATCGGAACATTACTCCAATACGAATTCCACTCGCCGTGCGCCGTGGTCGAGCTGCACTGTTTGATCAGAAAACAATCGTTGTGGTGGGGACTCCAATCGAAGGCCGAGCAGAAACCCGCCGAGTTGCACGCATCTTGGCATGCCTGACGCGAGATCGAGCACGGCGCTGGCCAATAGGAGTTCTGATTGACGTGTCCCGTTCACAGACCTTGTTATTGACAAGAAAATACGTCCTATGGCGCTTTGCGCTGGTCTATGAGAGGTTGGAGCCCTGGAGGCCCTGCCTGGCTGGGGATGGGGGGAGACTACCCGCGGGCTTAGAAGGCCCGCGCGCAGGGCCAGGGGGGTGCGGGTGGGACATTGAGATTGAATGAACATTCTGTTCAGCGTGTGGACCACTTGTCCGCGATGTCCAGCGTCGGCGCGTAGCTCGGGTCGTACAAGTACTCACCGGTCTCAGCGGCATTGCCATGGTAGGCCAGGCCCACCTTATACCGCAGCGCAGCGCGAGCCTGCATGTGCTCGCGCAACCCCACCCACCTTAGAAGGCAACTCGTTCACACTTAGGCATGAGCGCCCGAAACTTGAACGGCGGGCGATAGAAAAAGCCCCGAGACGCGAGAGTCGAATCCATAGGTCGAGAGAGAAGAGCCCAAATCACTGTGTGTGACACATTTCTTGTTGGCTTCTAAAAATCTCTCCCTCTCTAGGTCGAACTGGCGACTCATAATGAAACTTGCCGAAACCGCCCTGTGGGGGCGGCAGCGGCGACCGCCCGGGGGCAGTCGCGGGAATTATGAATTATGTTTAGCGGCTCCCACCCCCCAGGAAAGTTCTGAATCTGATGGACATGTCCTGGACTCTTCACTCTTGTCGAAATAGCGTGTAGAGTCGATGCCACAACAGGGAGGGCTGGCTCCGTCCTCCTTATTTATAGCTGGGGGTGAGGTCGTTTTTGTTTTCTTGATAGTTCTGGGAGTTTAGAAGAGGGGAAAGAGAGGGAGAGGCGGCTGGGGCTGCTTGTCGCGCACACAGTGCTCGAACTTTACCGGTATGTGAGTTTTTGGCTAATCAAACCCTAGGCCTGCACTAATCAAAAAGTGGTATGGGATACCACCTGCCTCACGGAAACCAAAGCGAGTCCGAGTGCATTTTTGTAGCTAATAAAATCGGCGAAATCGGCAAAATACCCCGGTATTTTGCGGGGGTATACCTGAAAAACCCAGGTATACCCGGGTAATACCCGCACTTTTGCATGGCTTCGCCTCCTGGGACCACACCCACAGCCGCTACACTAATCAACACTCCGCATACCACTTTCGCATACCACTATACCACACCACTTCAAAGTTAATCAAAATATCACCAAATACCGGTCTCATACCGGTAAAGTTCGAGCACTGCGCGCACACTGGCGCCAGACCGGTATGTGGTAAAATTCACAAAGGGGGTGCTCGTTCTACGCCATTACGCACTAATCGCACCAAACTGTGCGGTTTTTTTCGCGGTCTGGGGGACAGCCTGAGTGAGAGCTACGGTGAGGTGAAGGGGGAGGCGCCTAGGCCCAAGTGGCTATAAGGGGGGGGGGGGGGGTGAGGAGAGAGGAGGGGAGAGGGAGAGGGAGAGGGAGAGGGAGAGAGGGGAGACACGGACAAATGGCACACTGGGCAAACAACAAACTTCACGGGCTACGCTGGAGACGGCAACGACGGAAGGAGCGACGACAGCGGGCGCAGACTAGAGTCGGGCGCGTCGGAGGAGTGTTTCGTCGCCGATCGGTGACGGCTCCTCCTCCTCCTCCTCCTCCTCGGCCGCGCCTCACTCGGTCGCCTCTGCCGCGCGGAGCGGCTCGTGTCTGCTGCTACCTGCTCACGAGGCCGGCTGGGTGTGAGGCGACGCCGGGCACGGGCGGCCCAGCACCTCCCTACCGCCCCACCTCCGCCGCTCCACGCGCGCGCATAGTTGCGCCCGAAGCGCGCGAGCTGCAGCGCGCCGCGATAGGCGTCGGAGGCACCTGCAGATAAGAGACAATACGCCTGCCTCTCTCGGCCGCATCTCTCGGCTGCTTCTCGGCTGCATCTCGGCTGCAGCTCGCCGTCCGCCGCCAGCTGAGGCACCCGCTGCCAAAAGTGCCAGTGCGGGATGCGGTCGATGCCCTCCACGCCGCTGCGCACGTTGTACGCCATCCCGCCGACCAGGTAGAGCGCGGCGCCGCCGAGGAGCACGCCGAAGAAGGTGGCCGCCCCGGACCCGCCATCGCGCTGCGGTGCTGTGCAGCGACCGACCGGGCAGGCGGCGGCGGCGCGGACCGTGAGGTTGTACTTGAGGCTGCCGCCGGTGGCTTCGGTGAGGACCGCCTTTGGAGGTAGGGAGGGGGCGGTGGCGGTGAGGGAGGCTGCGGTGAGGGGCGGTGGCGGTGAGGGAGGCTGCGGTGAGGGGCGGTGGCGGTGAGGGAGGCTGCGGTGAGGGGCGGTGGCGGTGAGGGAGGCTGCGGTGAGGGTAGCGGTGATGGCGAAGGGAGGGGAGTGGCGAGTGGAGAGGTGGCGGGGCGGGGAGAGGCCAGAAGGCGAGGGGGAGGGTGGGAGGCGGCAGGGAGGGAGAGGCGGTAGGCGAGGCGGGCGGCGGAGGAGAAAAGAGCGGCGGCGGTCGGCAGGCTGCAGGGAGAGGCGAGGGGGTGTCTTGTCCGTGTGTCCCTGTGTCGCCATGTGTGCCGCCAGCATCTGTCCTGCGTCCACCCCGCGCCGGTGAGCCCGTCGAGTCTATCTATCGCAGGACACGCGCCTTTGGGATGGACTTGTCGCAGACGAAGCGGACGACCATCGAGCGGCCCGCCGCGCCCCCCGAGAAGGAGAGAAGCACCCCCTCCGCCTCGTTGCCCGGCGAGGCCATGCTCCACGCCGCCGTCGACAGCGATCCGAGCGGCGCGCACTCCTCCCCGCCAGCCTCTGACCGCCAAACCTGCAGCCCGGCCGGGTCGGAGATGTTGCTCAGTGTCTCGCACTGCCCCGCCTCGATTGGCGACCGGCACACGCCCAGCCAAAAGTGCTCGTCCGGCACCTCGCCAGCCGCAGCCGCGACCTCAAGGTCGGCGGAGTGCGTGAGCTGCTGGAGCGGCGTGAGGTCCCATGACACACCGGGGCACTCGTTCGGCGCGAAGGTGCAGTTGATCTCTGCTGAGGCCGAGGCGCCGACGACTAGGGCGAGCGCACGCAAGAGCATGTAGACACACGAGCCTGTTGCGAACCAGTGCGCAGGCTGCGCTTCCCGCCGAATGCGCTTCCCCTGGCGCGCCTCGGCTGGGCGACGCAAAAAAAGTAGAGTACGAATCGACCGCCGAGAGCAAGAAAAAAAACATGCACCCAGCACAAGCGTGCTTCGTCTGTACACATGTGCGCAAGATCTTCTCTTGCTCCGGGCGCATACATTCCGAGCGTCCCGCGTCGAAACCGCGTGTCTGGCGCGCCCATCGGCCGAGAGCCCCTTCGCGGCCGCGCCTGAAGGACATCGAGTCGAGGGGCGCGTGCGAAGGCAGCGGCTTGCTAGCGGCGGGCCTTTGGCTCGGGCGACAGCAGGGGCGCGGCGGTGCTGCCGCGGAACTCGAGGGGTGGAAGGTCGCCCCTCTTGGCGAGGGCGACGAGCTCGGTCATCCCCGCCACCGCCATCTTGAGGTTTGGCCACGCGGGCCCAAAGGACATGCGCAGGTGGTTGATATAGGGCGACTTGTTGAAGCGGCGGCGGTGGAAGGGGTTGACCTGCACAAACGAGGCCCGGTCAGCCGAGGCGTGGGTGAGACGAGTCCGAGATCTCGGCACGATGCACGTCAAAGAAGATGCCAGGCACCACGATCACCTTTTACAAAAGGAGGCAGGTCAGCGGGGTGCGGGTGACACGAATCCGAGACCCAAGGCGCGGCGCTCACCTTGAATCGGATGCAATGCTCGAAAAAGATGACGCCGTTGTTGAGGGGCGGCGGTAGCTCGCTCACGTCGGCCCACAGGTAGAAGGTCGCCTTGGGCGTGAGGACCTTGATGCCGAGCTCGTTGAGCGCCTGGAGCATTGACGCGTCACATTAAGCCGGTGGTTGGTCTCCTCTAGGGGAAAGGGTCTAGGAAGGGTCACCTTGAGCATGAAGTCCCGCTTGAGCCGGAAATGCGCCTGCACGCATTGGGTAGCGCTTGAGGAGAGTCTGACCTACGAGAAGATCTCTTATCTCGTAGGATATCGCCTGCAGCGCGAGCGCGTCCTCCTCGACAAACTTGGGGTCGAGCAGCGGAATGCCAGCAATCTGCAGCGGATGCGGCGCGCCGCCGTCCATGAAGGAGCCGATCGCCGAGAGCGCGTCCACGCAGTGCTTGGGGCCGACCACCCAGCAGACGCGCCATCCAGGGAGCCGCCAGTTCTTGGTCAGCCCGTTGATGATGCAGATGGGGTCAACGTTGACGTCGTGCACAAATTCAGCGGAGGACATCGTGTGGAAGGGTCGTGTGTCGCCAGGCAGCTTGTCCTCGTACATGTAGTGTGAGTAGAACTCGTCCATCATGAAGAGGCATGACTCATCCCGCGCAAGCTCAACCCAGTCCGAGAGCTCCTTCCCCTCCACCACGTGCCTACTCGCACAGAGAGGTGTGAGGTGACGCCGTACACGCCAATGTTTTTTTGTCATCCCAGTTTGCCCGTTCGGGTTTCCCGGGTTGCTCAGGAGCATCGCACCAATCCCGTGATGGGCGATCCTGCGGTGCAGAGAAGAGAGTTTGCTGATTGGTGGCTTGGCCGGAGCGGGGTGGGCGCGGGGTGGGTCAAATTGGGCGCCTCTCTTTTAGGTAGTCGGCGCTCGCATAGCCCTCCTGGTCCTTGCTGATAGCGATGGGTGCAATCCCGTCGAAGGCACCGAGAAGCTGCGAGTACGCGGTGTAGTCGGGGGTGAAGTAGCCGCAGTTGACATTCGTCAGCGTCGCCATCAGCCGGCAGAGGCCTGACCGACCGCCCGACGTGATTGCGACATTCTGCCACGTGTACTGGCTCTTTTTGCCCTGGCGGAAGAAATGGTTGTAGTAGCTGGCAACCGCCTGCCGGAAGACCTTTTCGCCGTTGGTGTCGGCATACTCGTTAACCTCGGGGTTGAGGTCGACCTTGAGACCCGAGCGGTCGGGCTGGTCGGGTATCTCTGCTGTCTCCGGAGCGCCCTGCTGCTCGCCCGCATCCTCGAGGGCCACACCGACCTATCGAAGCTCCTCTTCATCGCCCGCCGGCCTGTCCCCACCGCGGCCGCCCTCTCGCACCGGTCGCAGAGCGGCTACGTTGCCATCATCGCCGTGCTCTCCGTGGTGTGGTCGGTGGCGCTCTCTCTCGTGACGTACAACGAGAAGTTGTACCTCTGGTGGTGTCGCGAGCGCTTGTGGGGGCTGACGTTGGATTGCGCGTCGGTGTAGCAGCAGAAATAAAAGAAAGAAAACAAACGGAAGTGACATGAAAAGGTAAAATTCTTCTTTCCGATGCCGCCCTACTGTGGGTGACCTGGCCTTGCTGCGCGCCCTCCTCTCCGGGCGACGGACGCGCGACTCATCGCTCACGGCCCAGCTCAACGCGCGGCTCGATACCGAGAAGCAGGACACGCTGCTGACCTGGGCTGCTCGTCACGGGCACGCCGAGGCGGTGCGGCTGCTGCTCGAGGGGCGTTGGGGCGGCTGACGGGGACGACGCCTCCGCTCTGCTCCTCGCGTGCGAGAAGGAATGCCCCGAGTGCGTCAGACTGCTTCTCGAGGCCAATGCGGCGGTCGACCAAGCCGACACCAGAGGCGTCACACCGCTGTACATCACGTGCCACCGAGGCCACCTCGAGATTGCCCGGCTGCTGCGCGGCGCTGGCGCAGCGGTCGGCCAAGTCATGGACGGCGGCTTTACGCCGCTGCACATGGCGTGCCGGAACGGCTACGTCGAGATCGTTCGGCTGCTCCTCGGGGCCAGTGCGGCGGTCAATCAGGCCGGGGCGAGCGGCGCCACGCCGCTATTCATCGCGTGTAAGAGGGGCCACGTCGACATCGTCCGGCTGCTTCTCGAGGCCAGCGCGGCGGTCAATCAGGCCAAGAAGAGCGGCGCCACGCCGCTGTACATTGCGTGCCAGAAGGGCCACGTCGACATCGTCCGGCTGCTTCTCGAGGCCAGCGCGGCGGTTAACCAGGCAGCAGAGAACGGCGCCACGCCGCTGCTCATCGCGTGTCGGAGGGGCCACGTCGACATCGTCCGGCTGCTTCTCGAGGCTGGCGCAGCGGTTGGCCAAGCCATGAACAACGGCGCCACGCCGCTGCTCATCGCGTGCCAGGAGGGCCACCTCGAGGTCGCCAAGCTCCTCTCCTCCTACGGCGCCTCCCGCGCCGCGGTGCCGCCCTCCGGCACGCCCGAGGAGATCGCAAACCGCGAAGGCCACGCCGACCTCGCCGCCTGGCTAGTCGCCAGCCGCGGCTGGACGCCGCTCGCGCACCTTGAGAACCTCACCCCCTCCCGCGCGCTCTCCCTGCTGCGCAGCGGCGCAAGTGTGCACGAGGGCGAGCCGACGCCGCTGCAGCGCGCCGCGGGCGGCGAGGGCGAGGCGGCGGCGCTGATCCTGCGGGCGGCGGCGCCGTGGTCGCCGGCAAGCCACTGGCTCTTCCCTGCGGCGGCCCGCGCGCGGGCGGCGCTCCTCGTCCTCTCGCTCTACGAGATCCACGAGCGGCACCATCTCGACTCGGCAGGAAACACGAAAGGCATCGCGGCGCTCGACTTTAGCGCGTGCGTGCTGCGCTTCGCGATCACGCGCGAGACTGAGTACAGGGGAGCTGCGGTTTGTTGATTCTTGTTGGCGCACTTGGAGCACTTGGAGTGCAGTGGGTCGTCTTTCCTCACATAGCGGCCACTCCTCGGATCGCTGGACGCTGGTCGAGCGGCCCGATGGGGAGGAGTGGGGCGGACTACGGGGATCGGCCTCTTACACCGCCCTTCCTTGCAGCGAGCCCCCTCCAACCCACCTGCGCTAGGTCTCGGGTTTGACGCATGGGGTCACTCCCGCGAAACTCGTGAACTAGCCGGGGCAGTCGGAGAAGGGGCAACTCCGTGCACTGACGGTCGGCCGTCAGAAACCACGCGCCTGCGTGGATCGCGTCACACCAATCCTCGCTACCAAGGCGGCCAAAGGCTATCACTGCCGCCACAATTCTTTTTCGAGGCTCCGGGGTGCGCCGCTTCCCGCTCAACGACAATGCTCCGCCTCGACGACGAGGAGTGCTACATCGACGAGCCCGTGCGCTCGAGCATCAAGCAGACGCGCTCACTCGGCCGCAAGCAGTCGTGCGTCCGCTGGCTGCCCGAGTGCTCCGCCGGCGCTGGCATTGTCGCCACCGGCACGTGGGACGAGCCGAGCAACTGCGTCCAGCTGTGGGCGGTGGCGCTGCAGCCGGAGGACGTGGAGATGGATGACGACGCCGCCGCCGCCGCCTCCGAGGCGCCAGCAGCCCGCCTGCTCGCGACGGCGCACCACGCCGCCTCCGTCCTCGGCCTCACCGCCGCCAGCGGCGGCGGCGTGGCGCCTCCGGTGGTATGCGCTGCGGGCAGCGACGGCTCCCTCTCGTGCTTCTCGGCGGCGCTGGACGCCGCCGCGCCGCCGTCCGACGCCGCCGCCGGCCCGGCCCTGCGGCTGACGCCTGCGTGGAGCGACGGTGGCGGCGGCGGCGGCGCTTTGCTGAGTGTGGACGCGTCGCCGGACGGGCTCCAGCTGGCAAGCTGCGGCGAGGGCGGCCTCCTCTCGCTCCACGACGCCGAGGGAGGCGCCATGGCGGCGGCGATCGTCCACAGTACCTGTTAGCTAAGGCAGTCACGGCGAACGACGAATGGTCAGGCGAACGCCTCGACGTCCCGACAGAGGAGAGCTGTCTGTTTAGCGCCGAGTGGTGCTCGCCGAACGAGGTGCATCTCGGCTGATCTCGGCTGTGTCTCGGCTGCATCTCGGCTGCATCTCGGCTGCATCTCGCCGAACGAGGTGCTGACGGCGGGCGCGTGCGTCTCGCTCTGGGACAAGCGAGACCTGCGGCGGCCAACAAGCAGGCTGCTCCCCTGCTGACACAGTGGGACTCTCTCTCTCTCTCTCTCTCTCTCTCTCTCTCTCTCTCTCTCTCTCTCTCTCTCTCTCTCTCTCTCTCTCTCTCTCTCTCTCTCTCTCTCTCTCTCTCTCTCTCTCTGTGTGTGTGTGTGTGTGTGTGTGTGTGTGTGTGTGTGTGTGACTCACTCCGGCCATCACGCCGTGTCATCGCACCGCACCTCGCTGTCAGGCTCCTCCCTTCCTTCGGCACTCCGATGAGCTGCTCGCCGCAGCTGCAGGCCACCACCCGCCTTGTCTCCTCCTGCCGCCACCAGAGGCCACCTCTGTCCCCCCACGTCCACGACCAAAGAAGCACATGTGCCCTGCCGAGACATAGCCGAGTATTGCCGAGATGTACCCGAGTATTGCCGAGATGCAGCCGAGATGCAGCCGAGTATAGCCGAGATATCCCAAGCCCAAAGAAAGCATTGCCCTCCCGAGATCACCCCGAGATCACCCCGAGATCACCCCGAGATCACCCCGAGATCACCCCGAGATCGCCCGAGATCACCCGAGACCACCCCGAGATCGGCGCCGACGCGGCACCTCCTCCTGCCGGCGTCTCGAGCACCCGTGGCCTTGTCGCAGCAGAGACCGGCCAGGCGACCGCCTGCCTGTACCCCCCCCCCCTCTCCTTGTAGGCGGCCAGTCGCCACCCGCAGCACCCTCACCGGGTCGCCGCCGGCGCCAGCTCCGGCGCCCTCTACGGCTGGGACCTCCGGCTGGGCGGCGGACGCGCCTCCGACCTTGGGGAGAGATGCAGCAGAGATGCGGCCGAGATGCGGCCGAGATGCGGCAGAGATGCGGCAGAGATGTGACCGAGATGCGGCAGAGATGCGGTCGAGATGCAGCGCCTCCTACCTCGGGGAGCTCGGAGGAGCCGTGTGGTGGAGCGAGGGCGGGACCACGCGAGATCGTCCGAGATCGTCCGAGACTAGGCGCACGGCGGAGACGTTTGGTGCGTCGCGTACGCGCAGCTCGCCCTCGGCGACCTCCTCTCCTGCTCCTCGGACGGCACTCTCGTCGCGCGCGCCGAGGAGGGCACCGCGTCGCAGGCTCTTCTCGAACAGCCGATCGGCTGCTCCATACACCGACGAATGACCGGAGTCGTGACGTGCAGGTGCTCGTCGCGCTCGAGCAGCCGATCAACTCGTTCCACGTCTCGCCGCTGCGACTCGCCGCCGCCTCGTCTTTCTGGTTTTAGCCGCCGCCTTTCTTGTTCAGGTGTCGCCGCTGCACGGCGGGCTCGCCGCCGCGTCGGACGCCGAGGTGCTCACCTTCATCGACCTGCGCGCGACGTGAGCGAGGCCCCTCTCGCCGTCGCGTGCCCTCGGGCGCGGCGGCGCCCAGGCAGACGGCCAGACGCACACACTTGGAGAGGGCTGAGTGCAGCGGCGAAGGGAGTGCTTGGACGGGTCTGTGCGTCGCTCGCTCCTGGCTGTCGGCGCGACGTCCTGGCCCGCCCTGCCATGATCGAACCCAGCGTGGGCTCTGTAGAGCCCAGTACCATGTTTTATTGGGAGGTGTTCCTCCTGGGGTCCGAGACTCACTGCTGTCTCGCCGCCCGCCTGGCACATACACAGGCTACGCACGTGCAGACTGAGAGATAGAGTTAGAGAGTCTCTCGCGGGGCGCCCCCGGAGCCCGGTACCCGGAACCCCGGTCGTCACCCCACAAGATCCAAGTTCGTGACCGTTTTCCGTTTGAGGATTGAGCAAGAGCATGTCTCAAAAAAGACAAAACGCCAGCGTCTCGGTGTCTCTCGCGTGGTTCTTCACTCACGTAAATCTCTGATTAATCTGCACGTAATGGGTTGCGCGGACACCGGACGACCCCGCCATAATAACAGTGTACAAGAAATCAGGCGTCGCGCACAGAGTCGATGGCACGGGGCACGCGTCTAGGCTGCACCCTCACGCTCGACACTACTTGACGGCTCGACGGCTTCTCCTCAGGGGAGAGACCGCGAGAAATAGGGACGACGTCGGCGCGCTCGCCTTCGCAGCGCGCCGCAGCGAGAGCTCTACCACTCACTCCAGAGTGAAGATGCCGAGATCCTCGTACGGTGGTGGGTCGGGCCAGTCGACTGGCTCCGCCTCGCATGGCACCCATGCTTCGCCTCTGCCCCACGCCAGCAGCTCGTTGTCGCGGGCGATTTGCTCGGCCTCTTCCTTCTTCACCAGAGCCTCAAGGAGGCGCAAGAGTCGGGCGTCAGAATCCTCCTCCGTCTCGGCCAGCATGTCGTGCACTGATGTCGGGCTAAGCAGCGACCTGGGAGGTACGATGGTACCCGATCGGCGGCGCCGGAAGGGGGCAACTATCGGGCCCATGGACCGCTCGTCGCTGAAGAATGGTGAGCCAAGACGCTGGGGCTGGTTGTGGAGAACGCACGAGGGGGTTACGGTCGGATGCATCTCGGTCCGAGTTGGCCTCCAGTCTCGGACTTCCACGAAATGTGAGCTGATTTTTTTATTCTACGAAAAGGCAGAATTTTTTTAGAACTGAGAGTCTGAGTGGCGCGTGGGCGGAGGTGATGAGCGCGGAGGCGGCAGCAGCGCGCAGCGCGGCAGCGGAGAGCGGAGCCGGAGGTGGCCGAAAAAACCGTTAAGCGTTATGCAAAAATACACAGAGAAAAAATGGGTCTGTACGAGCGATGCGCCGTTGCCGCACCGCTTTGGTACCCCGGCCCGCCTCGCACGTACAGCCGCCGGCTCCGCGTAGGTAGCGGCTAGGGTAGCGGTTTCGGCGGCCTCGCTCAAGCAACCTGCCTCTCCGGTCTCGCCTACCCGCACTGCGCCTCTTCTGCCCTCCCCTCTCACGCCCCCTCCGCCGCCTCAGCCTCCGCCTCCGCCTCCGCCTCCGCCTCCGCCTCCGCCTCCGGCGGCAGCGGCGTGCCGGGAGGCGTGCCGGGGCCCTCCGCCTCCGCCTCCTCCTCCGCCGCCGCCTGCTCCTTCTTCTTGAAGACTTCGCCCGTCTCGTCGTTGGCCGCCTCCTCCACCGCCTCCTCCACCGCCTCCTCCTCCGCCTCCTCCTCCGCCTCCTCCTCCGCCTCCTCCTCCTCCGCCGCCTCCTCCGCCTCCTCCTCCGCCGCCTCCTCCGCTGCCTCCTCCACCGCCTCCGCCGCCGCCTCCGCCGCCGCCTCGGCCACCTCTGTCGCCTCAGCCTCAGCCGCCTCAGCCTCCGCCTCTGCCTGCTGCGGAGAGGGCTGCGCCGCCGGTGCCGCCTCCGCCGGCGCCTCCGCCTCGACCTACAAGGCGGCGCTCTTCAGTCGATGGACTGACGAGAAGAAGGGCGCGAGCACGACTTCAGACTCGACCTGGAATGCCTCCTCGTCGAGGAAGTGCTGCCGCTCGTCGCCGTCCGTGTACAAGACGGTGCTCTCGCCGCTCTCGCCGTCCACCTCGCGCACCTGCTCACAGCTAGAGGCGTGAAGAGACGCGGCACACCACGGCCCAGCCCAAACTCGCCCGGTCAACGGACCAGCGCTCGATGACTACATCTCGACCACATCTTGCCTGCCTCTCGGCTACATCTCGACTACATCTTGGTTGCATCTCGGCTGCCTCTCGGCTGCCTCTCGGCTGCATCTCGGCTGCATCTCGGCGGGATCTCGCGCGCCTCGCCGATGTACCACCGCCGCTCCTCGGGCCAGTAGACGCGCACTCGCCGCCCCGGCGCCACGTCGCTCGCAGTGCCGTCCGCCCAGCGCGCGCGGAAGCGGCCGCCCGTCAGCGCCTGGGGCGGGCGGAGGAAGGGTCTCGGACAGGTCGAGGACAGGTCCAGGAAAGTGCCGCCAGGCGACCTCCTCGGGGGCGGGGGCGGGGGCGGAGGCGGAGGAGCGAGAGCGGGTGGGGGCGGGACCCTCGGCGCCAGACAGCGCCTGGAGGGAGGGAAGGGGAAGGGGGGGGGGGGGGGTCAGACGAGCGCTCCAAGGCGAATTTGGTGGTGGTGGTGGTGGTGGTGGTGTGGTGCTGGTGGTGGTGGTGGTGGTGGTGGGTGGGTGGGTGGGTGGATGGGGGGGGGGTGGGGGGGGCAACTCCCGCGCCCCCACAAACTCGGGCCGCGAGCGGTACGTGCGGTCGGGCGAGGCGAGGCGGTAGGCGTAAAAGTCGCCCCCCGACCCCGACCCCGACCAGACCGCCTTCTTGCGCGGCTTCCAGTGCACAGCCCACTCCTCGCCCACGCCCACCGTCGCCTCGGCGGCACTCTTCTCCTCCTTGAAGCGCTGCACCGCCGCCAGCAGCTGGGACAGCAGCGCCGCCTCCGCAGCGCCGAGCCCCGGCTCCTGACGCCTCGCCTATTCAGGACGAGTTCGTCACTCGAAATGATCCAGCGCCGGTGCGGGATCGGCCGCATGGGCGCCGGCTTGGGCGCCGGCTTTGGCTTTGCCGCCGCCGCCTTTGGCTTCGCCGCCGCCTTTGGCTTCGCCGCCGCCGCCGCCGCGCTGCGGCGCTGCGGCTGCGGCTGCCGTGACTGCGGCGGCCGCGCCTGCGCCGCCGGCTTGGCCCGCTTCGGCGATGGCTCTGGAGGCCGAGCTGCCTTCTGCGGCGCCAACTTGGCGCGCTTTCCCGCCATTGCCGGCTTGCTGGCCGGCGCCCGCTTTGCGGGCCGCGGCTGCTGTGCCGGGGCGGGCGGAGCTGGCCGTGGCGGAGGCGGCGCGCGTCGCGCGACGATGGACTTGAGCGCGCCACGCGCCTCGTGCACCTTCTGGAAGGCTGCCTGCGATCTCCCCGCCTCTGCTGAACTCCGGTCGGGGTGGAGGAGCTTGGCGAGAGCGCGGTACGCTTGGCCGACGTCCGCCTCTGTCCAGGTGCTCGGATTGACGCCGAGGATGGCGACCGCAGTTCGCGAACTCTCGACGTGGAGTATGGCGTCCTCCGACGTCGCCCACTGCATCGAAGAGGACTGGCGGAAAGCTGCGGAAGCGCCAATCAGGGCGGAGCAGAAAGAAAACAAAGGGCCCGGTTGTCTCTTTTCTGAGAGCTCGATACCTGTCCCCCTGATCGTCCTTCCAAAATCCTGCTCGTGCAGGTGGGGACCTTGTCCTCGTCCCATCCCTCGTTTGGCGTGTCTGTTTTCTTTCTTTCTTTCTGAGAGCTCGATAGACTCGAACAAAACTCGAGGGGCCATGATATGCAGCAAGGAGGGCGGAGCTGCGCCGAAAGGCGAAAGAAGCTGAGAGAACAAGGGAACGGCAGGCGGCAGCGGCGGCGCAGAACGAGGCAGAGGAGAGCGACGCGACAGAGGAAGAAGCGACAAGGGAGAGCACGACGAGAAGGGGGCGACCGCGAGGTGGCACGAAGGTTGAAGCGAGAATCGGAGAGAGACTGCGAAGAGAGATAGGAAGAGGCGGACGCCCAAGGGTGGGCGACGGCTAGCGCACCACACATCCCTGTGTGGTGGCGGCGTGCCGTCCTCCCATCATCCCTCCCTTGCGTTGTCTGTTTTCTTTCTTTTCTGTTGCCTGTTTTCTTTCTTTTCTTTCTTCAGAGACAGAAGCCTAGGGGAGAGGAAACACGCGCCCGCAAGTTTCTCTCGGCGGATGCATAGGAGCAACGAACATGCTTGTTGTGCTCCACCTTGTGTCGGTCGCCCCGATTGCCGTCGAACGCTGCGTCCTCCTCGTGCATTACCACTTTGCGAAATGCGGCGGCACGGAGATACGGACGCTGTTTCATCGCCACCTCTCGCCACAGTGCCGAGGGCCTGGTTGTGGGCAGCCAGCGCTGTTCCCGTGGCCGACATACACGGGCAATAACCTTTCAGCGTGGTCCGACCCCTCGGTCCGGGCAGCATTTCCACGAGTGTACATGGAGCACCACTAGGGAGGACTTCCGCCAGCACAGCATCTGATTTTGGTTGACCGGTTGAAGCGCACGCTTCGGGAGCAGCGGTCGCATTGCTCCGTCCTAACGGCTGCGCTCGTGCGGGAGCCGGCAGCGCAGACGGCTTCACATCACAACTTCTTCGGATCTCGCTCAAATACGACCGCGCTCGAATGGGCACAGCGGCTCGGCGCCGACCCCTGGTGGCGCGTTGATCAATACCCTAACACTTGGAACGTGTGGCGGCGAGAAGCCTCGCGCGCTGGCATCAGCGGCGAGGACCTCACCAAACTATTCGAGGGCGACCGGACTCCGCTCGTCGAGCTGCCCGGCGAGAGCTCTTCCTCGCGAGACGAGGCGACGGAATGCAGCCAGGTTGGAGCGTGCTCAAAACAATGTGCGAGCCAGGTCGCGTCGTGGGAACGGCGTGTCTTGGAGCGAATTGACCTTGTCGCTCCTCTATCCGCGTTCAACGAGTTTCTCCTCGAAGTCGGCCGGAAGATTGGGCTCACAACCTTACCCTCCGGTGTCCTTTGTCGTGTGCATGCACATGCACATGTGCACTTGCTGGGCGCCACGGCAAAGGACGTGGCGAGGCGCAATCGCTCGAAGGCTGAGGGAGAGTTGTTGGCTGCATACGCTCCTTGCTCACGGTATGCCTACTGGCGATGGCACTTTGCAGGGATAGATAAGCTGGGCAAAACATTGGAGGCAAGGCGCCGGTGGTGTCGGGAACGAAGAATGAGGTAGTGTCTGGTGAACAAAGCAAATGTTAATAGCTACATATACAAAAGAAAGAAAGAAAACGGACAACCCATGGGAGGGATGGGAGGACGGCACGCCGCCACCACACAGGGATTTTATATAAGGAGAGGGTGTGATGCGCTAGCCGTCGCCCACCCTTGGGCGTCCGCCTCTTCCTATCTCTCTTCGCAGTCTCTCGCCGATTCGCGCTGCAACCTTCATGCCACCTCGCGGTCGTCCCACTCTCGTCGTTCTCTCCCTTGTCGCTTCTTCCCCTGTCGCGTCGCCCTCCTCTCGTCCTCTGCCTCTCGTCCTGCGACGCCGCCGCCGCCTGCCGCTCCCTTGCTCTCGCGGCTTCTTTCGCCTTTCGTCGCAGCTCTGCCCTTCTCGCGGCATATTTTGGCCCCTCGAGTTTATCGAGCTCTCCTCGCGCAAGGACGACTCTTCTGACGCCCACTGCGATCATTTGCCGCCAGGTCATATCGTTGCTCAGGTCCACTCTGGCTCTTCGAACACTTGTACCTCCACGGATGATGCTGGCGCTGGGGTCCCCTTCGGGTGCATCGTGACAGCTGACGACCTACACATATACTGGAACAACAATGCGCGTTCGAGGGGTCCCGTACCATGCGGATTCGACCCTATCCAGTGCTCAAGTGCTCAATGCGCGTTTCCGATCTTTTTTCGGAGAGGTCGTCCCTCCAGCGACGGACTTTCGCGCGCGCTACCCCCCTCACTTTCCCGACTTTCCCGATGAATTCGCCCACGGTCCGCATCTCCCACTTTAGCTGGGGACAGAAAAAGTCGCCGCGCACCAAGGCGGCTAGCGTCGAGGCCGAGAAGCGAAGGGTCTCTGAACGGCGCTCGGCCGCGCAGTCCAGCCTCGCCGGGAGCGCAGTCCAGCGGCAGTCGGCGGCCCAAGCGATTCGAGAGCGGCCCGAGGACTTCTTTGCCACCATGCCGCCCAACCCACTTTGGCCGGGCGGGGTCTCCGAGCAGATGGTCGAGATGTTCGTCGACGAGATCCTCAACGACAAAGAGCTCAACATCGGTGCCATCCCTGACGTGATTGAACGGCAAATCTATTTATCGACTGTCCGCCTCGCGCTCAACACTATATATTGGGGCATATCGACGGTGCACGGCAAGGAGATCCTCGCAGGCCACAAGCTGCTGATGCAGCGGATCGAGGATGAGGGCGATGAGAAGGCTTCTTGGCGTTCCAATGCACTCGCCAGCCTGACTGGCTCGCTCGACAACGAGGAGTTGGGTCGGATGGCGGAGCGATTGCTAGCCAACCGAGCCGTCAATCAGCCGCTGGTGCCTGACTTCGTGGAGCGGCAGCTCTACATAAACTGCCTGAAGCTCCTCTTCCGCCTCCTCGACGCGCTCACCACCACGCTGCGCATCACCGTTTGTGGCCACGATCTAAAGCTCGTGTTTGAGCCCGTTCGGAAGGACGACGAGCGCCGCTCCTCGCTGGGGTCGGACCTCCGTGAGCGTGTCAAGAAGGTGTCACTTTCGCTCACACCGGTCAACCTGGCGGCGGTGGCGGCTTACGCTCGCGAGGCCGGCGGGGTGCCGCAACAGGATTCCAACCCTCTGTACCGTTGGTTTGTGGAGCCGATGAAGCGCGAGATGCTCGCGCAGCTGCACACGACGCTGTACGCGCTCGTCCTCGGCACCATCGACGACATGCTCGAGAACACAGTGCTCACCTTCCTCTCGGACCGAATCCGACTCGACGTTGTCTGCCGAGCTGGCGGCGTGCCGCCCGTGGCCGAGGAGTCGGACGACGCTGCTCCGCGCCGCTCGTCGTCGGCACCCACTGTGCGGAAGAGCCCAACGCGCTCGACCTCGTCCCCTCGCGGCGGCGAGAAGTCCGAGGCGTACTACGCCCACCTTGGCGCAAGGGGCTCGGGCGTGTCTGTGGCGGCCGCGGCAGCCTCCACAGGCCTCGCGCTCGTGGTCGGCGTCGGGATTGGCGTCGCGCTGAAGGGGAGGCGGTAGAGCCAAGTGTAGAGCCACCCGTGGCGATAGGAATCTTAGATCTACTGTCAGGGTTTCTGCTGCCTTCGAGAAGCGAATAAAGAGTACAGACTGCGCCCCTCTAAGCCACGACAATGCCATGATCAAATCGCGCCGTTGCGAGCGCCGCCACACCGGGCCGAGCGTTTTTGATCTCTCGGTAAGTGGGCGCCCACCCGCCGCCTCTGAGGGGGTCGGGCCCCCTAGACTGAAAACAAAAACAAGCTCGAAAACAGCCCCCAAATCAGCCTGCGAGAGAGGCACTGCGCGCCGCTGACCTCATGTGGGGGGATGTGTGCCGACACCAATACTGATCTAAAACCTGGAAACCCTTGTTCAAAGCCGACCCGAAGCGCCATCTTCCTGCTCCCACCTGATGCTGCTTCCCCGCGCCGCCTCCTTGGCCCCCTTGGGTGTATTTTCTACTCCCAGTGGGGGGCCTGGGCCCCCGGGCCCCCTCTTGTTTTCTGTTTTCTGTTTTTCAACACGCCCGCCCGCCCGCCACCCCGAGGCGGCTCGGCCCCCCACTTACCGAGAGATCAAAATCGCTCGGCCCCGCCTCGCGCACGCGCATTAGTCGCGGGGTCGTACCGCTCCACCGAGCTGGATGAGTTACCCGTGTCGCCGTCGTACCCGCCCACAACGTACAGCTTCCCATCGAGCACCGGCACGCGGGGCTGGTTCCGAGCCACCGCCGTCGGCGCCACCGCCTCCCACGTCCGGCGAGAGTGAGGACCTCGGAGAGGATCCACTCGGGCTGCTCCGCGAGCCGTGCAGCGTGCTCCTCCGCCACGCGCAGCGCGGCGGCGCTCGCGCCCGCCTGCGCCTCGATGATATGGCGCGCACCGCGCACAGCTGAGACTCTGCCTCTGATGCGGGCGCGTACTGTGGAGCGTGTGGACGGTGGCGTCCTGGCGGCGAGGGGCGCGAGAAGAGGCGCGGGGGGCTGCTGGCGCGGGGGCGCATCGGAGCCAGGAACAAAAACTGCCGCCCGCGATGCGAACATCCACACTGCAGACTCCACAGTCTCCAGCGCTGCCACTACCGCACCAATAATAACAACACATAGCGTGTCGGTGCACGACACCGCGAGCTCTCAAAACGAACCGCTCGATCTCGAATATACCTCAACCTCTTACCTCATCATCTCGCCGGCGCCCCGCTCTCCCCGTGGCCCCTCCGGCCCCCGCGCCAAAGCCGCGCCCCTCCCTCCGCCTCGCGGCGCCGCCCCTCCGCCGTCGCACCCGTCGCGCCCCCTCAAAGCAGACAACCGGAGATGGTCGACTGCAGTGGAGAGGCTGTGGGCGGCGGGCGCGCGCGCGCAGAGAAGCGGGCGCCCCGCCCCGCCCCCTCGTGCTCCCGCGTGGCTACTTCTTCTTCGTGTGCGACTCGAGCAGCACGTCGCGCGAATCGGTCACCTAAGCGCCGGACGGTTCTTGTTCACGCCTCTTCGCGGCCGGGCGGCGGCGGCACTCGCGGGTGAGGGATCGATGAGCAGCAGCTAACGCGAGGGAGCAGCGCTGATGTGTGGAGCAGCGCTGATGTGTGGAGCAGCGCTGATGTGTGGAGCAGCGCTGATGTGTGGAGCAGCGCTGATGTGTGGAGCAGCGCTGATGTGTGGAGCAGCCGGCGTCGTCCACTAGCGCTCACGTTGAGCAGCAGCGACTGCGTGTCAAGGTAGACCTTGTTAGTCGACTTGGACAGCGTGCCAGCGACGTCGCGCGCCGCCTAATGATGCTGATGACGGATGACCGAGGACTGGTCGATGACTAGCATGCGCCTACCACACGCCGCGCCTCCAGCCGGCGCAGCTGGATGTAGCCGGGGTTGTCGCGCACCGCGTCGCCGATCAGCTTTGCCGACTTGGCCTCTCCCTGCGCCTTGATGACGGTCGACTTCTTCTCTTGCTTGGCCTTGTCGACGACAAACTTGGCTCGCTCCGCCTCCTGCTGCGCAACCTGCTTCGCCTCGACCGCCGCGGTGTACTCTTTGCCAAAGGAGAGGTGCGTGATCGAGACGTCGTCGAGCTCGAGGTGGAACTCGCGCGCGCGGGAGAGGAGGTCCGTCCTGATCCTCTGGGAGACTGCCTGCCAATAATTAGATACATACATTAGATCCTCTGGGAGACTGCCTGCCACGCGTCAAGCGATGCCGGTCAAGAGTAGGTCGTGCCACAGCAGCAGTCCCGGTGTACCACCGGTGAACAGCATGGCTGTCTGCAGCTTGAGCCCGAGCGTGTGCGAGGCCGCCTCGCGCGATGCGCGATGAGCTGGGACGCTGCATCTCGGCTCCACCTCGGCCACATCTCGGCTCTATCTCGCCTCGCGCTGCGTGATGAGCTGCGACGCGTTGTACTGCGCCACCACCGACTTGAGCACCTCGTTGACGATGGAGGGGAGGACGCGCTCGTCGTAGTCGGTGCCGAGCTCGCGGTAGATTGTGGGGAGGAAGCCTGCGGAGATTGCGATCTCGCTCATCTCCCGGGTGGTGGGAGGAGCGGTCTCCGGGGTGGTGGGTGGGTGGGGGAGGGGAGGAGAGGAGAGGGGTTGGAAGGAGGAGAGGGAAGGAGGGCAGAGGGAGAGAGGGGTGGGGGGTGGGAGGGGAGGAGGTTGGGGGGGAGAGTCGGGTAAGAGGGAGCGGCTGGGGCGGGGAGGCCGATGCAGCGAGGCTGCAGCCAGGCTCGAGTACTTGGTGCCTCTCCGGGCATGCCACTCGAGTGGTGGGCCGAGAGGCGGGAGAGTGGGAGTGTCGGAGGGAAACCCCCCCCCCCCCCACCGCCCTCTCACCGGGGTCGGGTCGCGAGAGGACGCGCAGCGAGATGTTGACCATCTGCAGGTCCTGTGGGGAGGACGGTTCCGGGAAGGTTCAGAGCTGCAGCCGAGCGAGCGGCGGCGAGAGGTGCGCCGGCGGAAGGGGACCTTGCTGCCGGTGAGCGACTGGATCATGCGCGGCTTGGCACGCACGTCGTACAGCACCGGCCGCTGGAACCACGGCAGCACCAGGTGCGTCCCCTCGCCCCGCACGCGCTGCTGCACTCCGCCAAACCGGTGGTACATGACGGCGCGGTGGCCGCCCTCGACGTTAAACAAGCAATTGGCGGAGCCGTAGGCGAGGCCCGTCAGCCCGACCGCACCCAGCCCGAGCGCTCCCATCGGCGCGCCGCCGCCCGAAGGCAGGTTCGCAAAGATGCGCTGCGCTGCTTCCCGCACCTTGTCCGCCTGTGCAGCGTGGGTGTGACGAGGGGTGAGGAGTTCGGAGGAGGCGCGTGGAGAGGGAGGCGGCGGCGAAGGCGGCGGTGGAGGGGTGTTTCGAAGCGTCGATGCGGGCGGGATGGGGAGGCAGAGGCCGCGGCCGAGAGACCATCGCACGCGTCGTCTCGTCTCTAAGCTCCAAAAGAAGTTTAGGCAAAAAGAAGAATTCTAAAAATAAGCCGCTTTCACAGCCTACTCAGGGTGTGTGGCAGCCAGCTGGCTGTGTGTCTTGTGAGCCTGTTTGTGTCTGTGTGTCGCTCGTGCGTGTCGTCATCATCTGTCTAGCGTCCACCCATACCGCGTTGGTGTCCAGTCCGAGCCTGGCTGTTCTTCACCTTTCTACCTACCTACCTACGCACACTGGCACGACAAGGGCGCGGACTGGCGCGGACTGGCACACACACCGGCTCACCAAAGAAGAATAACTTAGCGGTGAAAATGTTTTCTCCTAACGGTGTGGGGGCGCGGAGGGCTTGTTGGCGAGCCAAAATGGTGTTTTCCGAGGCGCTGCGCTTTTCCGAGGCGCTGCGCTAGGCTCAGAGCGGGTAGATCTGCTTTGGAAAAGAATACCACACCCGGCAAGTTATCATTCCCGGCCTTACTATGATTACCTACCCTTGCCGACCGACGGGCCACGCCCCGCAAGCAGCAGCGTGCAGTGTTTGGTTGAACTTGCTGCTCGCCAGCGTTCCTCCTCCTACTCCCCGCTCCATGCCCGGCATGCAAATGCCCGAGGATCCCACCCTCGCCGCGCTGAGTGGCATGCTCATGATGATGGTACGCGCGCCCGGGACCGATTGGCTGCCACTGTCCTGTTGCCATACTCATCTGCACAGCGAGCAATGCAGACGTTTGGAATAGCGGATCACGGGTGACTTCACCCGTTGCGTCTGCAGATACTGATGATGTGCCTTCGGATGACGCTGATGCAGTACATCGGCGGGTTCATATACTCCATGTGCGACTGCCTATGCGGCTGCTTCTCGCGCGGAGTAGCGAGCGCCAAGGAGCGCATGGTCCGCTCCGACCACGGCTGCGTGCGATGGGTCGGCGAGCGGTTGCCGGAGCCAGAGCCAGTGAGCCACCACCACTGCCATCTCTGGTTCTGTGCAAGACAACCGCACCCACTGCCGCACCCACATCTAGCCCGTTGCTCTCTGGAGACTCAAAACCGCTCGCTGCCGTGCCCCGCCGGCCTCTACAGGAGCCGCCGGAAGAGTTCCACATGTATGCAGAGGTCTTCCTGCGCGAGGTGACGCCCGACAGCGCGCTCGGGCTCGTGGGCGTGCTGCCGAGCGACACGCTCTCGGACCTCGCCGAGCGGGTGGGCGGGCTGCTCGAGCCTCCGCCGCCAGAGGAGCTAAGCCTCTACGTGGCGCGGTGGCCGCCGCTGCCGGGAGGGACGCCGCTGTTCCCGCTGCTCCCGGCCATGTCGGCGGGCAAGGGCAAGGGCAAGGGCGGCGACGGCGCTGCGCGCGCAGACGACGACGGCTCGGCGGCCACCGCGGGAACTGCCACCGGCGGCGTTGCTGTGGGGGCGGCGGCGGCCGCCGGGGCGGGAGCCTGGGGAGGCTGGGGAGGGGGAGGGGGCGGCGCCGGCGGCTGGGGAGGCGGGCGCGGCGGCATCATGCCGAGAGGTCTGAGGAGCGACGACGTCGCCGCGGCAGACCTGCACGATGACGGGGCCGCGGCTGCCGGCGGCATGGCTGGCGGTGCCGCCGCTGGGGGGATGATGACGGGCGGCAAGGGGGGCGGTGGCGGTGGCGGGATGGGTGGCGGGCGAGCTGGAGGCGCGGCCGGTGGCCGCGGCGGCGGCAGGGGCGGTGGCGCCGGCGGCAAGGGCAAGGGCGGCAAGGGTGGCAAGGGTGGGAAGGGCTGGGGAAAGGGCGAGGGCGGCAAGGGCCTCAAGGAGCTGATATTGAGCGGCGGGAGGGTGCTGGTGGTGGACGGGTTCGGCGCCAGGGCGCCCGAGCACCGGCGGGAGGCGGCCTTCCCTCTCCGGAGAGGATCGCAGCGGTGGTCGTCGCAGCGCGACGCGAAGGAGGATGAGGAGGCGCCGCTGATTCTGTGAGATCATGTCACACCAACGCACGTACCTTCCGCCCCAGGGATTGCGGATAGGAGTGTGGTGCTAGCCGTCTCCCGTTCGATAGAAAGAAAGCAGACAAGCGAGCCGGCGCGCATTTCTTTTGGTTTCCGGGCCGGAACATCCGAGGACGAGGTCTGCTTGGCGAGCCTCCTCTTCGTCCTCTCCGTTGCGGGCCCGCCCGCGCCTTCAGCCCTGTAGAGGCCGCGCTCGACGAGGGCGGCGACGGCGAGTAAGCCGAGGCCGCAACCCGACGCGCGAATGACGAAGGTGGAGATCGAGGTCGTGGTCGACGTGCCGTACGCAAGCTATCGCGAGGACAGCCGTGAGACGATGACAGTCAGAGAGGACCGGTTCTGGGCCTTCACACTGGCAGTGACGTTTGGCTTCTCCGCTGGGTACGTGGATGCCAACACGAAGCGCCGCTTTGCCACTTTCGGCTCCCTCATGACGGGTAATGCCGTCCAGCTTGGAACCGCCGCCGCCGGCGGTGACTGGCACGAGGCCGCTCTCTGTGCGTCGACATTCGTGGCGTTCGACGTCGGCTTGATGGTCACGTCGCATATAATCCACTTGGCCACCCGCGATAGCAGCAGGGAGAGCCTCGTCAGCCCCAAACCGCACGGCAGCAGGGATGGTGCGGGGCTCGATCGCCGTGCGCTGCCGGCCGCCGTGCGCTTTTGGGCCGCGGTGCTCATTTGTGTCGGCCTCGTCAGCTGCGACGCGCTGCAGGCTGTGCTCACGCCGATCAGCTTTGACCAGAGATTCGCCGGAGCATTCGCTGCCTTCGCCATGGGCGTCCAAAACGTCTGCACGCTCAAGGGCGCCCTGCACCAAAACACGTCACTTCTTGGCGGGAGCATGCAGCAGCTCGCCTTCGTCACCTACCGGTGGCTCATCGGAACGGCAAACTCCGAGGAGCTGAACGAGGCGGCCGAGAGTTTTGTCGTCTTCCTGGGGTATCTGGCCGGCGCGGCGGCCGGCGCGGCGTCGCTCTGGGTGATTGGGCACGAGTGGTCCCTGTGGCCGGTGGCCGTATTTATCGCAGGCGGTCTGTGGCTCACGCCCCGAATCCCGGTCGCGCGTCGATAATCCTGCATAGCCTACGAGCTGGCGGTGGCGCGCTTCAGTGCGTGCAGCGCGACAGCGGAATGGCCACATCCTCCCCAGCTCGTATAGCTACAGCTGGCCTTTGCCGACGAGGTCAAGGCAGTGATGCGCGCGGGCTTTGAGCATATGCAGGCGGAGGACGGCGGCGCGGTCTACCTGCGCCTCTCCACGCGCGCCGTCGAGCAGATGCCGCGAGACCTTGCCGCGGACTCGGCCCTCCACGACGCCATCGTCCGCGGAGGCTACTGGCACGTGCCGCCGCACGCAGCGACGAAGGTGGTCATCGCCTTCAGCGGCGTCGTCGCGCCGGAGGCGATCGCCGCACAGCGCTCGCTCGGCGCGTCGGCGGCGCTGCTGCAGGTCACCTCCTACGACCGCCTCACCAACGAGTGGAAGGAGCGAAGAGGCGGCAGCTACGTCACGGAGCTGCTGGGCGGCATCCCCCGCGGCGCTCGGCTGGTGACGGTCCTCGACGGACACCCGTCCGCACCCCTACCCCCACCGCGCAGCGCGAAACGGCCTTGTGCGAAAACCGTGATGCGTGTGCGCGTGTATAGGTCCGCCCTCTCCTGGCTCGGAGGCGTCCACGGCCACCCGGTGACCCCACTGGGCGTGACGGAGTTTGGGCAGACAGGCGATGTGCTCGAGCTGTACGAGAGGTACGAGATCGACGAGGCGGCCATCCTCCGGGCGTGCGAGCAGATCTGCTGAGGTCTCACCCACCTCCATCCTCCTGCTCCTCCCCTCCCTCACCCCTGCGCCCTGGCCGCTGCTGTGTAGCGGTGTGTTGCTACTTGCACGATTACACTTTTGTAGAGAGCGGGAACGCAATACATCTTTCACACTTTGTACATTCCGGTAGAGGCAAAAAAAGGGCGCGCGAGGAGTACTGGCACGTCAATACATGCAGACACACACGGAGGACCTGGGGAGGAGGGAGCCCGAGACGGCGTACCGGCAATAGACAAGGGCACACAACGAGGCAGACATCGACGTCCAGGCTTAAGGTCGATTCTAGGCGCAAGCCAGCTCGCGATACACCATCGCTCCGTGGACACTGAGAACTCGGCCAGCGAAGGGCGGGGCGTTCTCAAAGCGCACCCACCCGTTTCGTACCAGCGCCGCTCGATTGGCTTTCGACGTACCAGCACTGCTCGATTCGCCTTGGACGTACGGGATGGCCTCGCCACCCGCCTTTGCAGTGTAGTCGGGCGTCCAGGAGCGTTGAAAACGGGGACGAGCGCGCGGGCACCGTGGAAGCAGGCGGCGGAGGAAGCACAGGAACGAGCGCCGCTCGCCGCGCTTAGAGCTGGCCATCGTTTCGTCGCTAGTGCCGAAGACGAGACAGCGTGATAGCAGTCGGAGAATGTTTGCGCTGCGAACCTTGGATTTTTCTTTCTTTCAGGTAAGAATGTGCGAGAGCCACACTGAAAAAAGAAAATGCCTTGCCGATGATGCGAAGACCAGGAACCTGTGCAGACATTCGTAGCACCGTGCGACACTTGACGACACGATGGCACTCGCGACCGCCGCGACGGCCTCGTGGCGCTGAGCTGCTCCCAATGAGCTGTGCTGACGAGCCGGCTCTGCCATGGACGCCGGCGTCCATGGCACGGCCCGGACCGCTTCCCGTCGGCTGGCGCATCCTCAAGCGCTCGTGGCGCGGCTGCTATGAGCGGGCGCTTGTGGTGGTCGACGGCTGGCTGCTCACCCTCGAGCCTGCGTCGGGCCGGACGACAAATACGTGGCCGCTGGCCGACGTGCTTGGCGTCGAACGGCGCGGCGCCGCGGACGTCGCCCTCCGCCTCGCCGGCCCGTGTGGCGCCGCCGGCTGGGTCCGGCTCCTCACCGTGGTCGCGCCGTCGGCGGCCGCAGCCGAGTCGCTGGCGGCGGCGCTGTCGCAGCACGTCACGCGGCAGCTGCCGGCGGAGCCTGCGGCGGCGGCAGCGAGCGAGCTCTCGGGCTCTGTCCTCGACGCGCGCCCCTGCCAGCTGCCTCGGACACGCACCCACTCCATCTCTGCCTCCGCACCCGGCACTCCGCTGATACCGCGAGCGGCTGCAAACCGCACGCCGCTGGCGCCGGTCGTGCCGCTTCCGCCGGCGGTGCCGCCACTTGCGCCGCTGCCGCCCTCCTCTGTCGCGCATGACGCCGCCGGCTCGTCCTCCGCCCGCCTGCCGCCCTCGGCCGCCTCGGCGGTGATGGTGCCAAAGGCGCGACTAGAGACCGACAGAGAAGAGAGACAAGGCCCACAGACACGCTGGCACAGAGACACGCGGATATCACCAGACGTGCCAGAGGACGCTCGACAGTCGCTGCGCTTGGCTCGCACGCTCTCGACACGGAGCCTGCCCTGACCCTGCTCGGAGCCTGCCCCAGGTGCGGGCGTCCTCCTCCCCCGCCTTCAGCGCTGCCCCCCCCAGTGGGCCGGATGGCGAGCGGGCGGTCACCTCGTCGGCAGCGGCGTGGAGAGCGAGTGAGCGGGAGGGGATGGGCGTTGGGCAGGGCGAGAGGCCGGGCGAAGCCTCGCGCCAGCCAGATGGCGCTTCCGCCTCTGGCGCCTCGGACAGCCACTCGATCGGCTCCGACAGCGGCTCGCACGCCCCGCCGGCCGACTCGGATGCCGACGTCGCGATCCCCCTCGAGGTGCTCGTCTCGTTGAGGACGGGTGGGTGAAGAGGGAGGAGCTGCCCGCATAGGTCGAGCTCCACTTCGAGGTGCTCGTCTCGGTCCAGAAAGCGCGCAACTTGCCGCCGCCGCCCGCCCTCGCCGCCGCGCCGCGCGTGTCCGTCGCCTGGGGCGAGCCGCCGCTCGACGCCTTCCTGCAGACCACGGCGAGGGCATCGAAGCGGTCGAGTCCTGTTCGCAATAGGCGTGCCGCCGCTCGCTCCGCGCCCGTCCGACGTGCAGGCGCTGCCCCCCTTCGCGCTCGACCAGCCGGAGGGCGGAGGAGACAACGGGCACAGCGGCAGAGGAGGCGGAGGAGGAGGGGGGGGCGGAGGAGGAGGTGGTGGTGGAGGGGGAGGTGGGCCCTCGCGAAGCACTGGTTGCGATCGGCGCCCCCTCGGGTCAGGAGGGCGCGAGGGCGGCGGCGGCGTGAGCGGCGGCGTGAGCGGCTTGCTCGGCGGGGAGAGTGGGCGGGCGGAGGAGGGGGCGGGCAGGCATTGGGGCGAGGAGGGGCCGTCCGGCACGAGGCTGACGCAGCGGCCGGTCTCGTTTGAGACGGCGTCGGGGCATGGCGAGGCGGCGTCCCCGCGGTGGGGGTCCGGGGCGCACTTCTCGTACTCTGCTTCTGCGGCGCAGCTCGCCACGAGAGTGGTGCGGCTCTCGCTGCGCCACCCGAGGCGGGGGCTGCTGCCTGCCGCCGGCAGCGAGTGGCTGCTGCCAGCAGCGACGGGCTCATTGGTGGTAGGCTGGGCGTGCTGCCCGACTCCGACTTGGGCGCGTGCGAGGTGCGGCTGAGCGAGGTCGCGTCGGGGCCGATCAAGTACGATCTGCCCGTCCTCGACGCCGCACTTGCTGTCGACTCATGGCGCACGAGCGAACGAAATCATGAACTAGGTACGACTTGCCCGTCCTCGACGCTGCCGGCGCGCCGCGTGGCCGGCTCGTCTTCACGGTTCGGATGATCCAAAAGTGCGTGCTCGCCGTGACGGTGCCGTGGGCGAAAGCGACGATGCGCTCGCTGCAGCGGCACACCTCGGTCGCGTCTCAGGAGGCCGCGCACCGCGAGCGGGCCTTCTCGCTCTCGGCGGCCCTCGCCATGGAGAGCGACGCGTGCGAGCCTCAGGGCTCATCAGCAGTCAGTCATGAACAGGCGGCCCTCACCATGGAGAGCGACGAGTGCGAGCCGATGCGAATCGACTTCGACGCAGGCTCGCTGCGGCTCCTCGCCGGGCGCCTCGCTGCCGTCCTGTGCTACACCTCTCTGCTGCCCCCTCTCAGGCTCGCTGCGGCTCCTCGACGGCGCCCAGGTCCAGATCTCGTACGACACGTCGCCGCTGCCGCACCGGCCCGCCATCGAGGCGGAGGCGTCCGCCGCCGCCTTCGCCCAGGAGCCGCGCCGTCTCGACGGTGCGCGTCGCCGGACGCCACTCATTCACTCACTGCGACGACCTACTAATGACTAGGAGTCGCTCCATCTCGTCGTGCGCGTCGCCGGCCGCCGCCAAGCCGCCAGTGGCGCCGCCGCCGCCGCGCCGCTCTCGCCGAGCCTCGCCCCTCGCGGCGACCGACCCTCCCGCGTCGGATTGCTCGGCTCGATGTTGGGTCACTGACCGCTGAGTCGACGACGGAGTAGGCGACCCGTCGTCCCACCTCCGCTCTCCGGGCTCGTACGCGGCTTCGGTGGGCGCCTCGTCCTCCTCCGCATCCTCCGCCCTGAGCGGCGAAGGCGGCGGCGGGGGCGGGGGCGGGGAGAGGGAGGAGAGGCTGCGAGGCGAGGTGTGGCTGCCGATCACAAAGGTGTACACGCCGGGCGACGAGCGGCGCGCGAGTGGGGGCGGGAGGGGGGGGCTTCCTTCTCTCCTCCGGCCGACCAGCCGCTCCTGTGAACAGGCGCGCGACCGCCGAGTTTGACGAAGTCCTGTGGAAGAACGGGCAGCGGGTGGGAAAGCTCGCCGGCGGGTGTGGTCGCGGCTCGGAGGTTGCCCGGAACCTTCTCGGAACTGTCCCCTCAGGTGGGCCGCCTCGCCGGCTGCGTGGTTGTGCTCAACGGGCCGCGAGTCGTGCAGCTGGCGGGTGGCTTCTACACGGAGCATGGCACCTTGCCCGCCGGGCCCGCCGCCCTCTAGTACGAGCTAGTGAGAGCAGTCGATGTTGGTCCCAGGCATCTTGCCAGTCGGGCCGGTCGCTTTCGACTCGACTGCGGCGAGCGCCGCGCGGGGGAACGGCGCCGCCAAGGTCGAGCGTTCCCTCGAGTTGAACGGCGGCGAGTCCCTCGACGCCGAGGGAGGCGGCGGCGCGGACGGGAGGGACGGCGGCGGGGATCAGTTCCGGCCGCCGCCGCGCGGGACCGACCTCCCTCGGCAGGTGAAGAGTATGGGCGAGATGTGGCCGAGTGAGGAGATGCACGGCCTCCCCCCGGCAGCTAGGGGATGGCGAGTGTCCGGCAGCTCACCAACCCGCTCACCAGTGCCGCTGCGTTCGCTGACTGGCTCCTCCGTCCTCCCCCCCCCCCCCCCCCGGCAGGTGGAGGCGCTGCTCGCGCTGACGCACGGGCTCAAGCAGGTCCTCGAAGCCGCACGCACCGCCGCTTGAGGATCAGCCCCTCATTGTGAAGCGTACGCACCCGCAGGTGATCCTCGAGCTGCACACTTCCGCCGCCGCCGGCCGCGCGACGGACGCGTACGGGGTGCGGGCCCGCCAGCCGACTGTGAATGAAGTAGCAGTGAGCATGAGTAGCAGTGCGTAGCTCGTACTCATCCTAGGTCGGCCCCGCCACCGACGCGTACAGCGCGCAGCGGTCGCCCCTCGGCCCGCTCGCTGTGGGGAGGGAGCCCGAGCGCTTGCCTCCCCCTCCTCGACTCAATCGAGTCACTCATGAGGAGCAATCAGCCCTTAGGAGCTCGAGCACGCGGCACCCCTCCTCCCGCCGGCCGCGGCGGTGGCCGCCTCCTCCCTTTGCGCCGTGTCGGCCGGCGACACTTCCGAGACACTACCGAGGCATTCCCGAGACGTCGCCGATCCGACCTCCGGCGCGGGCGGCGGCGGCGGCGGCGGCGGCGGCGGCGGCGGCGGCGGCATCGGCGGCGAGGGAGGCGGGTGGCCGCCGGGCAGCGGCGAGATGTGCGCCCGTCGGCTGGCGATCCTCTGCTCTCGGCTGCAGCTGCTGCTCTGCTCCTCGCACAAGGAGTCGGTGCTCTCCTTCTTCTACCCGTCGCCGGAGGGGCTGGCGTGGACGCAGCTGCTGCTGCTGCGGCTGTGGTCGTACCTCCTCTCGCAGGCCGAGCACCTTCCCTACCGGCACCAGCCCGCCCTCTTCGCCACCCTCACGCCGCTGATGGAGCGCGGCGAGCTGGGGCCGTCGGCGCTGCTCGGCGCCCCCGCCTTGCTGCTCGAGAAGTACGCGCACGTGCTGTGGCAGACGGTCGGCTACGTCGTCTCAAAGCTCAACCGCAAGGCGGCGCCGTCCGAGGTGCGCGTCTTCTGCTCGCACGCGCTCTCGATCGCCTTCTTCCGGCTGCCGCTGCTGCGGCCGGTGCCGCTCGGGCGCACTCCCGCCCGCAAGGCGGCAGGACTAGCCACTGAGGAGGGACGGGTGACCCCGTCAGGTGCTTCTCGGCGCCATCCTGCCTCCGGGCGAGAACCGCTTCAAGCACGTGCGCGAGTGGAACCTGCCCTGGTCGCTGCAGCGGGCGGCGCTGCGGGAGGGGAACGCCGCGCCCGAGCCCGGCGACGCCTCCCCCCCCGGCGGGCGGGGCCGCTCCAGCTGGTCGTCGTCCCGCTCCTCGGCGAGAGACACGCGCGCCGTGTTCGCGTCGGGGGGCACCCCCCGCGGGAGGAGGGAGCGCGGCGGCGCGGTGCGCGAGGCGGACCCGCCGCTCGACGCGTGGGCCGCGCTGTGGCTCTCCCAAGGCATGGCCAACGCGGTGCCGCCCGCGGTGGTCGAGCGCGCGCTCGGGGGGCGGTACTGGCGCGAGCGGCTGCGCAAGCGCGGCCACTGCTTCTTCCTGCTGCTCGAGCATTGGACGAGACACGCGCCCGCGGCGATGGGCACGCAGCCGGACGAGTCGACCAACTGGCGCGTCGTGCCGGGCCACGCGGTGCTCATCAAGGCCTTCCTGCTCGAGATGCGGCAGCGGCCGGTCCACTTGTGGCCAGAGTCGATGCGGTCGTGCCTCGCCGCGCTCGTGCAGGAGAGCCAGCCGCTCACGCAGGGCGCTCCTCAACCTCCCCTGAGCGTTGCCCTGAGCCCTCCTCGAGCCTCCTGCAGGAGAACCGGCCGCTCACGCAGGTCTTCGCTCGCATCATCGTGTCTGCGGCGGGGACAACGTCCCTCCGCCGCGTGCTCGGCGCGCTGCAGCAGCCCTCCGACTTGGAGGACCTCCCTCACCCTCCCCCCTCCCCCGAGCCGGCCTGCAGGCGCGCTGCATCAGCTGTCCGACCTGATGACGGTCGCCGCCACCGACGAGCAGCCCTCCTTACCGGGGTGCCGTGCGCGTCGGGGGGGGGGGGGGGTGCCGCCTCTTCACACGCCTCTGTTGTGACGGGCTTGCCCCCCCTCTCTTGCCTAGGTCCGGCGCGTCGGGGGAGCACCGGCCTCGCACCCCGGCCGGCTGCCGCGCGGGCGTGGGCTCGCAGCCGGGGGGGCTCTCCGTCTGGAGGGAGGGGTGGCGCGAGGGGCCCTCCGCGGCTCTGCGAGACAACGCCGCGGCCGAGGCGCGACTCGCGCGCCCCGCCCTCTTCTGCGACGGTCGGCTGGGGGCTGAGCCGAGGTCGGCCTGAGGCTAGGCGCACTCGTACGACCTCATCCTGCAGCAGATCCAGTACTTGCTCGCGTCACAGCACTTCAAGGTGGTTGGTTGCTCGCTCATCTTCTTGTGCCGCCGCCTCGACCAGCCTCGCGGCGCGTGGCCTTCCCGTCCACTGACCGCCTCCCTCCTCTCCTCCAGGTACAACCACCTCGACCGGCTCGCCGAGGAGCGGCGGATTGAGGTCCTCTCCTAGACACTTCCTAGACACTTCCGAGACACTTCCTAGACACTTCCGAGACACTTCCGAGACACTTCCAGCCTCGACCGGCTCGCCGAGGAGCGGCGCGTTGAGATGCGAGATGCGGGGAGATATGGGGAGATATGGGGAGGTCAGGCTCGCGGAGGAGCGCGTGCGTTGAAGCTCTCTCCTCGCCGCACGCCTCGCTGACTGTCACGCCGTGTCGCGGACTCGTGTGATTGTGCTCCTCATCGCAGGTGCTCTCCTGGCTGCACGACTCGCTCTTCGGCACCCTCGCGTGCCACTGGTCGCGCGTCGTCCGCTCGTCCTTCATGCACATCGCAGTGCTCAAAGTGCTGCACGAGGGGCCAACCCCCCCCCCCCCCCCCCCCCCTGCCACCCTCGCTGTCCCTCTCGAGGCTGACCCCTCCCCTCCGCAACGCAGGCCGACCGCTCCCCCTCCGTCCGCGCGCAAGTCAAGCGGACGGCGTCCCTCGACCGCCGCACCGCCTCGCTCGACCGAGAGAACCCGTCGCCCCGCGGCCTCCCCAAAGTCGCCTCGTGGAACGCGCCTCGCTCCATCTCGGTGCCGTGGGCTGGCCGCCGGCGCCTTGCGGCGGCGCCTCTTCACACCCTCGCGCCCCGAGCAGGTGCCCAGCTCGCTCCACCTCGGCAACGCGGTCGGCGGCGGCGCCGTGCCCGTCTCTCCTGCGGCCGAGGAGCGCGCGCTGTTCGGGGTGGCGAGGAACGACTCGCTCGCCTCGCGCTCCTCGTCGGCGACGCGGCTCTCCAAGACAGTCGCGTGTGACGTCGAGGCGCCAGCCCGTCAAGCGCGCGGCCTGGCGCTGCTCTGGACGGCGCTTGTTCACAGCCGCGAGTTGTGAACAGGCCTCCCTGGTGCGCATGGCATACGCAGAGTCGCTCGGCTACGTGCAGACCCTCGCAGAGGCACCTCTCGGCTCGAGCGCCGCGGCAGAGGCGGGTGGGTAGAGGGAGAGGCCGACCCACAGTCAGGCCGCGGCAGGGCACCGCGCTCTGGAGAGGCCGCCGAGAGAGACGGGGAGAGAGACGGCAACACTGGGGCGACACACGGGCGCACTGCACAAGGGCACTCAGAGGCGGCCGAGCTAGGCTGCGCGAGGTCAGCCGAGATCAGCCGAGGTCAGCCGAGATGACGAGTGCGCGGGGTAGGCGGCCGAGCAGCTCGGCCTCGACGTGGTCGGCGAGGCGGGCGGCGCCGCAGACACGCTCGCCACGTGGCAGTCGTACGCGCGCCACGCGTGGTCGGAGCACAACGCGCTGCAGCGCAAGTGCGCCGAGCTGCGCGAGCTGCTCCTGCTGTGCACGGCGCCTCTTCACACCTCCCCCCTGTTAATAGGTGGGCCGAGCTGCGCGAGCTGCTCTCGCGCTACCCGGACGCGCCCGCCCCCCCCGACGCGCAGGCCGGTCGCCGCCTCAACGGCGCGTGCAGCCCCGTCGGGCGGCAGCGACCCTAATGAGGTTTCCTGACGACGACACTGTTTCATTGACCAGCAGGCGCGAGCAGCCCCGTCGGCCAGCAGCCTTCGCGCCGGCAGCTGACTCTCTCCATGGCGGGGCTCTGCGAGTCGCACGAGGCGGGCGACGAGGAGGCGCACGCCTCGTCGGACGAGTGGTAGTCGCGCGCGGCGGTTTTGGACCCGCGCGTCGGCCTAGGCGTCGGCTAGCGGGGCGCGTGCACTCGCTCCCACCCGGAAACCTGCGCTGTTTCGCGGTTCCGCTGTGAAAAAAAAATGCGTTTTACCCTGCGAAAGACACTACTCTCCCCCTCCCGTCACTCGTCCCCCTTGGCGTGGCGCGCCTCTCCCCCAGCTCTCGGTATCGCGTACTGCACGAGGCTACCGTGGGCCTCGCCTGCGCGCTGGGGGTTCCCTGCCCTGTTGGGAAGCCTAGCTCTTAACCTGGGGTCGCTACCTAATGCGGGGCTCCTGGACGGGCGATGAAGTTCGCCTTGAATCTCTCGTCTCGCTTTCCCCCGACTCGCGTCCGTCGGGGGTACTCCCTGCCTCTGGCTCTCTGATCTCCCCCCCCCGCCCCCCCCCCCCTCCTTCCCTCTTCGGGATGAGATGCGCACTGCTGTCCCTAGAGGGGGGTCGGGTGGTGAGGGTATTGATTAGGTCATCGTGTTATTCGTGGTCGCCCACGGACGATCGCCGGAGTGGGCCGAAGGACAGAGGCTTGCTTGTGTGCGGTGGGGGCGCGCGGGCGCCCACTCAGGCTCGGCCTCCGTTGTCTCAGCCTTCAGTTCACCTCTCCTAGCGCCCGGTTTGGTGTGGCGGCCTTCATTTCGGGGTCGAAGGTGCAACACACACTTGCCCCCTGGAGCCTGGTAATCTGGCACTCGGCGTTCTCCATAGGGGCTCGGGCGTTTTTTTTTTTCGATTTCTTTTTGGGACCATTGAATTTTGGCAGAATTGAGAATATTTTTAAGTGGCGCGCACTGGTGGGGTCGAAGGTGTCGGGGCGTCGCTCGAGGAGGCGCGGCGAAGTCTTTCTCTTTGTTTTTTCCGTTTTTTTTGTTTTCTTTTTGTGGCAAACAAGAAATACCGAGGATAATACAAGTCCGCCGACTAAATGATTTTCGGCTGGCCGCAGGTCGGGCTGGACGCGGCTGTTTCGGCCGGCGGTCGGGGTCGGACACCAGCCTTTGTCGGCGCGTCAGCGCCGAAGAAAAGTTTGGAGATTTTCTTCTTGATTTCCTCTCAAAAATCCTGAAACTTCGCGAGGTGACTGAAGAGATCGCATCTCGCAATTTTCTCTGAATTTTCTCCTTGACGTTCCTTTGGCCCGCCGCGCCCCCCCTGTCCCTAGCGGCCGTGACTCATCTGCTTCGGGCGCGCTGCTCCTCGGGGATGCATGGCGAAAAGCGGCAGAGGTGATGCTCATAGCTTCAGCTTCCTAGCCCCAGATGCCCCGTTTGCCCCACTGCGTCGCCACGCTCGTGCCGTCGTGCAAATGGGTATAATGCACCCTTTGGTCGCTCGCGGCCCTGAACGCATTGGGAGAGATTCATTCGTGTACGCCAAGGGCGTGCTCAGATGGCACGAAGTAGTGTAACTCTCCACCCTCCTTGGACGCGGGGCCTTCCGATGGGACACGTCCAAAGTGACCCATCCTGCAGCACATGACGACCGCACATCGCTTGTGCAAGCGTGATCACGCGCTGCTGCACTGGAGCTGCTGCTGCTGCCTGGCTGCTGCACTGGCTGCTGCTGCACCTGTGCCGGGGCGCGCGTAAACCCCTGCCAAGGCTGCGGCCGCGGCCGCAGTGGTGAAGGCTGACATGATGATGCCGCGCGGGCGGAGTGGCGGACACGAGGACGCTGCTGCCGTCAGATGAGGGGTTGCTATCATACGCAAGCACGAGCCGTTGGCCGCGTGCACATCACCGTTGGCCAGCTGCTAAGCGCGAAACCTTGCCTTTGTGTCTGTCGGATCCGTCCAAACTTGTAGCGCTACATCTTCGGACACACACCGGCGGGCGCTTTCGAGGCGAGCAGCAGCATTTTTCTAGCCATGGACCGATTTTACGGCACGATAGCTGGGCTGCAACACATCTACACTCGGCTGCAACGGACGGCGCGCAGCGTCGAAATTTTGGGGCTTCTCGAGCGGCGGCCGGTGTGGACGCCGTTGTTTCGCGGCTCGGTCGGGCGGGGGGGACCGCGCCTGCGTTTCGCTGCGGTCGGTCGAAAATCATTTTGTCGGCGGACTTGTACAGTGCGCACAGTACTCTACTGCGTGCGGCACATGCGCGGGCTCGACGTGAGGCAGGCGACTGTCGCGGGGTGCGGGCTGCATCGCTGTGCGGTCGCGGTTCCGCTGTGCACGCGCCAACCTCCTACGCGGCCGATAGGCGACAGTCGACTCCGACAGAACATTTTCCCCCCTGTTTCTCTCGTAAGTTTCCTCAAAATATTATCACGCACTTTGGAGCACTTTGGACTTACGTGTTACGAGACTTTATGGAGGAAATTTTGGTGAGGCGTCTCTCTCTGTCTCACGGGCGACGGGTGGCGGCTTTGGACCTTTGCGAGAGGTGGCGAGCGGAGCCAGAGCGGTGTAGGCGCGTCCACGCGGCGCAGCGGCTCTCCCGCGAGCCCGGCCCCTCTCGTAGCCGCAGCCGTAGCCGCAGCCCCAACACTCTTGCACCGCTCCTTGTCCTTCCCCCGCCCGGGAACTTCCCGTGTCGGGTTGTGTGCTTGTGACGGAGGGGTGAGGGGACGCACGGATTGTGAAGATCCCTCAAGATCGTGCGGCAGGGCGGGGGCACATGTCCCTAAATCCCATCTCGTCTCAAGAGTTTGACCGTTTTATTTATTTATTTACTGCCCGACAATACACGAGAGCAACGCAACGCCCGGGGGGGGGCGGGGGCGCGCGCACCAGAGCTCCCAAGCACTACACCACGACCTCGCCCACCATCAAATAACGCGCTGTCCTCACCATCCCTGCGCTGTGCGCCACATGCCGCCCGTCCGCGTCGCGCCCCACGCTCGCATGCACGCGCATCACGCCTTGGGGGTGCGCAATCCGAAGCTCCGCGCCCGCCTCGCCGCCGCCGCCGCAACCTCCGCCGCCGCCGCCGCGAACAAGCTCGTGTGCGACGGTGCCCGGGACGGCTGCTGCGCATGCGAGCGCGAGTGCGCCGGTGCCCGTGTGTGCGTGGTGGACGCGGCTGCCTGCCGAGACGCGGGAGAGGAGGTCGCACCTGCATGCATGTGCCACCCGCATGCATGAACCAGTGAATACACAACGCAGTCACTGATTCTCAACTCGCATGCATGTGCCACCCACCGAGGCCCACCGAGGCCCACCGAGGCCCACCCCTCGATGTGCGCCCGATGAGCTCTAGAGAGGGGAGGGAAGGGCGCACTCTGCGGCAGCGACGGCCCCGCCCCCCGCCAAGCAGTGGTCGCGGCGAGCGCTCAGCCAGAGCAGCCGCATCCCCGACGGCCGCGCTTTTAGGCCCACCCGCCCCGCCGCCTCGTCGAGCAGCGCATCCACCTGACACGGACGACTCCTCCCTCCCCGCCGGGCGTCTTCTGGTGCGCCGCCGCTCCAGCAGCGTATCCACCGGTTGGCCTCACCATTCTCATTGCGAGGGCTACAACGACGGTGATTTACTATGTGGTGGCGGCATCCACCGCTTCCCACACGAGAGCGGCGGTCGCCTCCTCCGCCGCCTCGTCCCCTCTCAGCCCGCCTAGACAAAGAAGTATCCCGCCGCTGTATTTCTGTTCACACGTGATGTCCGCCTCGTCCCCTCTTAGCCCGCCCTCCACGGCGCGCACAAGCACCTGCAGAGGTGCGGCCGAGATGCGGCCGAGATGCGGCCGATATGCGGCCGAGATGCACAGAGCACCTGCGGGTTCCCGGCCACGTCGACGATCGTCGCACGGAGCGGTCGGTCTCCCAGCCTCAGCCCCTCCTCCTCCGGCCGCCCTGTCGGCAGCAGCGCGTGCCCGCCAAGCTCAAACTCGACCCGCAGCGGCGGCGCCTGCTCCAGACCCGCGGGCAGAGTGTCCTCTCTGTGTGTGTGGTCTTGTGCTGTCTGTGTGTCGCTCCACGCGTGGCCAGCATCCTCCGTCCTGCGCCCACCCATACCGCGGTCGCCCAGTCTGGCTGTGTGTCTCTCGCCTCTAGCTCTCTCTCCCGCGCGCCTCGCCGCGCACGCCCGCGATCGCGACGGGCGGCGCGTCGGTCGCAGGGAGCGTCACCGACATGGCCTCTCCTGCGCCGCTTGCCCAGAGGCGGACGACCGCCGAGCCTGCTGTGAAGACACCGGCGTCAGGGAGTGAGCACGGCAGCATGCAGCGGGCTCAGAGCCTGAGTACACAGAGAGTGTGAGTGCGCGTCGGTGCAGGGATCTGCATTCCATCTAGACGCCCGCCGTCCGCCTCGCGCAGCGCCATGCCGTCGTCCGCAGCGACGAGTGCAGCCGCCGACGCGAAGTTGGCGCAGTTGGAGCGCCAATCGATGCCGCCGCCACGTGAGACCTGAGCAAAGTGGTAGTCGGCGGCAAAGCCGGGCTTTGACGGCGGCGCCACGACGGCCGCTTTGAGCGTGCTTGTGACGCCGCCGCCGACGCCGTCGATGGCGAGACCCGTCGAGTCGGGGCCAAGCGCGGCAACGATGACCGCGTCGCGAGCGGCACCAGCCGGAGGGAGGTCTGCAATGTTTGCAGGGCAGCAAGCGGGTTTAATACCGATCGGTGCTGAGCCTCAGGGCCGGCGGTGAGCGCTCGCACCGGCAGCTCGGAAGACGACGCCTTTGGAGGTGCCGCCGCGCATGAGAGCGGCGCGCACGAGCCGCGCCATCGAGGTTGCGGCTGCAGCCAGTCCAGCCGAGCCACCCGAGCCACGCAGGCGTGTATCTGGCGGCCGACCGTCAGTGCACGGAGTTGCCCCTTCTCCGACTGCCCCGCTAGCTAGTTCACGAGTTCGCGGGAGTGACCCCATGCGTCAAACCCGAGACCTAGCGCGGGTGGGTTGGAGGGGGGGTCGCTGCAAGGAAGGGCTGTGTAAGAGGCCGATCCCCGTAGTCCGCCCCACTCCTCCCCATCGGGCCGCATAAGCGGCCACGCCTCGCAGATTCGTTTCTCGCGCCTGGCCCTGGCGCCTGGGTCAGGCGCGCGGGGGAACCCCCGGGTCGCTCGACCAGCGATCCGAAGAGTGGCCGCTATGCGAAGGAAAGAGTGGGGCCCTCGGGGTACGCCTCGTCCGGCCCCCTCCGAGGGGGGAAGGGAATTGCGGGGTCCCCACGGGCGCCTCAGTTCGGCCCTCCCGAGGGGGGGAGGGGAGCAAGGGGGTGGGGGGATTGGGGTGGTGGGGAGGGGTCTCGGTTTCATGTGGCTAATACTTTCTCTTTCAGCGGGTTCCGCGAGCGTTGTTGTCAGTGGGTGTTGATTCGTTGTTAGCAGATCAAGACACAGAGCTCTCACAAATCACAGCGATTGGGTGGTGTGCGGTTCTTGCCGTAGTTCCCTCTTCGGTAGTCTCCCAGCCCCGGCGCCGCCTGGACGCCTCGGCGTGTCACGAGTGCAAGCCGCTCGCGGTTCGTAACGCCCGCTTGCAGGCTCGTGTGGCGGGCCATCCCTTGCGGGATGGCTTAGCGGGTTCGAGCCGACAGCGACCGTCGCACCCGTGTGTGTGGACCACCAAACACCAGTTAAGATCTCGAGGCGCGATCCGGTGGACAGGACATTGTGGCCGTCGAGCGCCGCCCTGGTATCCTCGCGCTTTCGCTTCCGCCGCTTCGCCTTCCCCTTCGTGCGTCGTCTCCTTGCTCGTTGCTGCGCAGCACAGGATGTAGACAGTAGAGCAGAGAAAGAGTAGAGATTGCAGACATGTGTAGTTGAGGAACCTTCACCACGCTCGAATCGTGTATTCATTATCACTAGGAGGCATACACGTAGGCCCTCTCCAGCCCTTCTTGTACAGAGCACTTGGATACGGTGTTTGTTATGACCTGCGGCTGCGCGCACACACCGGCCATAAGCCCATAACACCGACAGAGCACCGCCAAAAGTACATAGGTGCGGGTATGTGCGATGCATCTTAGGTGCGGGTATGTGCGATTTGCGGGTATGGACGATTTGCACTGCCAGGGTCGATTGACGGCGGCTCGCGGTGGCCCGTCAACCGAGCAGACAGCGCCGAGGCGACGAACGGGAGCGGGGAGCGCATCGCGACAGGGAGGGTGGCTTGGCCGCACGAGGGCCGGCGGCGTCACGCCCACGATGATGTCGGCACGCACGCAAGCGGCTTCCGCAGCGTTGGCCGCCAGGCGCACGCGGCGCCATCAAAGGCGATCGGGTGCGACTTGGCCGCGACGACGCAGCCGACGAGAGCGTTGAACTCGCAGTGCAGGGTGCGAGAGGGCGGCGGCGAGCGAGCGAGGCTGCGGAGGGGAAGGAAAAGGATGTAGAAGAAGGTGACCGAGAGCGAGAAGAGAAGGATTCTTCGCAGGCCACCATGTTTCGGCTGGGAGGCCTTGAAGAGCTTTCGCTTCGCAGGCTTCGCGGCAGGCATGACTTTGGCGTCCTCCTCCTCAATCAACCACGCACGGAGGCCATCCGGTGTGCGCCCAGTAGATTCGCGCACACCTCGCTTCGGCGAGGCACGGCGGCGACGGGGCGACGTCGTCGACGGGTGGGTCGTCGACTGGTGGGTCGTCGGGCGGTTGATGTCCATCGGGAAGTGACAAAGGATTTTTTTCCCGCCTCGCTACCCTCCTCCAACCCCCAGCGTCCATGAATGGCCCCCAAGCGTCCAGGCCAGGCATTGCATCTGATATCTCGGGTGTCCAATATATAAGGCCGCAGCGTGGTCCGGTAGAACTTCGCTGGCCCGCCGCGTGGAGCCCGTCGCAGCACTTCGCCGCACCACTGTGGACCAGACAGGGCCGAGATGACGGCCTGCGGCCAGGCCGGCAGGAAAACCGTCTCTGTGCGAGCGCGTCGCCGCGTGCAGGAGAAGGAACGACTCGCCAACCGGCCTCTCGCTGTGTCTCCGCCGCCGCAACTCCGCCGCGCCCGCGGTCCGTCTGTGGGGTGGTTTGGGCAGCTGAGTACGAACTGCGGGATGGCGTGCGGGCTTCTCCTTCTTGCTGTATTCCTCGGTTGCCTGCCATCCGTTGGCGGCACGGCAACCGTCCCCGTCAGCCGCACCGTCGTCCGCGGCCGCCACATCCTCACGAAGAAGGAGTACCTCGACACCTTTGCTGGCGACACGGCTGGGTGGGCACAATACATGGAGGACCAGTACTTTGCCGAGCAGGGCGTGTCCCTCACGGCCGACGCCGAGGAGCGAGTCAGCAACAAGCCAGGGGAGACGCTCGGTCAGGCGAAGAGCCGGCTCTTCTTCAATCGCGTCCGCAAACCAAACATGCATCCAACCGCGGCCGTCCAGGCGATTCCTTCGGTCACGAAAGAGGTGAAGGCGCTCGCGACGAAGCTGGATGCGTTTGGCAAGGTCTCCACCGCCATCCAGAAGGAGCTGGCCATCCTCCAGGCGGGCCTCGGTCCCCTCCCCTCCGCAGGCGGCTCTGCCTCCTCCTCCTCCTCCTCCTCGTCCTCCGCATCACCGTCCAAAGAGGTGCCCTCCGGCGTGGCGGCCGAGGGGGGGAGCAAGGAGGCCAAGAGCTTGACCCCGTCCAAGCGGGCCGCCGCCGCCTCGCCGGCGTCCGCATCGCGCCCTGTCCGCAACGGGCGTGCCGCCGCCGCCAAGCCTAGCATGTGACTCATAGCCCGTCGTCCCCGCACTCGCGGTATGGGCTTCCGCTCGTGCATTGTTCCCGAGAGCGACGAGGGCGAGAGCTCTGGTGACGAGTGCGGCTCGGCGGCCGCGGAGGCGGCGTCCGACAGTGAGTCGGAGTCTTCCCTCCTCGAGCAGGCCATACGGGCGGCGGGTGATGTGTGCGGGCCGTCGACATCGGCCGTGGAGACGGGCAACTCTCTCGAGGCGGGCAACTCTTCCGACGAGGACGCCTCTCACTGCGAGACGCTCGGGACCGACGACTCCTCCGATGCGTCCTACACCGACGGCGACTCCTCCAGCATCGACTCCGATGTCGGCGGCGCCTCCGACGAGGACAGCGACGCGTCTTGGTTGCCCTCCGACTAGGCGTCGGCGCTAGACAGAGAGGAGAGAGAGTATCATAGTATATGCGTGCTTCTGTGTGTGTGGCGACGCGTTGTCTGCCGCTGTCTTGCTTATTACACCTCATAGACATGTGGTGCACCTGGCACTAAGGCACCTCCCCGCGAAAAAGACACATCTAAACCCGGCTGACGGCGGCCTTACAATTTTCCTAGCAAGCCTCTACTGCTTCGTTGTCCGTCGTCTGCTGCTGTACGATTCTGGCCTCTTCTCCGTCGCGAGGGCCCCGCCCCCCTCGAGGGGGGGGCGGGGCCCGCGCAGGAACCCTCTAGTCATAAAAAAAACCGGGTGGCCGCCGCCGAGCGAGGCAAAGGCCTCTCTAGCCTTCGAGCTCCCCTCCCGCTTGGCCGTCGCCTCTAGCGAGATGGAGCCGTCTCGCCGCGTCGTCGGCAAGCGCCAGGTCCGGCCCAACATGGCGCGCCAGGACTTTGGGTATGTCGAGCGCTCACGTGCTGCTGCAAACAAGGGGATGAAGGGCGTCAAGCCCAAGCGGGAGGACGAGGAGGACGGCTCGGCGCCGATGCGATCGGAGAAGGATGCCCGCAGCCTGGTGCGTGCACCCTCGCCTCCTATAGCTGGACGAGCGACGCGCCATCGTCCATGCTCCGTCCTCACTCCCGCACGCCCCGCCGCGGCCAGACGGTCGACTTCACAAAACTGGACATGGCTACGCTAAAGCGCTACAAGCGGCACTACCGGCTGAAGACGCGCCAGGCGCGGCCGCCGCCCGCCGCCTCGGCTCGCCTCGGCCCGTCTTCCCTCCCTTGATGGCGTGCTAGCGGTCTCGCCGCCACCGCCGCTGCTGCCGCCGTTGCCGCCGCTCCCGCCGCTGCCACCTCCCGCCTTCGCCGCCGCCGCCGCCGCCGCCGCCGCCGCCGCCGCCGCCGCCGCCGCCGCCGCCTCCGCTGCATCCGCTCACCCCACCCTGCCCCTCGCCCCGCAGAACGTGACAAAGACAGAGCTCGCGCTTGCGATCGCGAAGCACTTTGCTGCGCAAACTGTCGACGAGGCTTGCGCTCTTTCAGCTCTCTTGGCCCTGAGACCACCCCCCTTACCTTTCGCGAGCCGTGCCCTTGTCCGCCCCCTCCTCTCCCCCCCGCCCTCCCTCCCACGGAGCGGAGGAGAGGGCGGCTGTGAGAGACCAGTCGACCCATCGTTTGCCCACCCCTTCTCACGCCCAATCTGTCTCACTGCGGGGCTGTGACGAACCGTCTTGCGTGGCCGAGCGGCGGCTCTAGCTGCGGCTGTGCGGACCGTACACACCATGCTAATCCTGAGCCCCGCCGGCGGACAACGACATCCCCAGCCCCCCAGCCCCATCCCCGCCCTCGCGCCGCCGCGCGTTTAGCCCCTGCACACAACCTGATGCCCCGCCCCCGCCCACTGCCCCCCTCCCCCCCCCTTCCCCCCGACAGGCCGACACGATCTCGCTCTTTATGTATTCCGCGCGCGCCAACAGCTTGCAATACGGCAGCCAACACCCCCAACCCCCCCCCCCCCCCCCAACCCCACCACCCCACTGCCCCGCCACCGCCACACAGTGAGCCACACGCCGGCACGCGGTGACGCCCCTCCTCCTGCTGTGCCGGCCAGACCGGCGCGACTACCTCAACGGCCGGTGATCGGCGGCGGCCGGCCAGAGGCCGCGCGTGCGGAAGCAGCAGCGTGGATCGAAGGGGTCGAGGCCGGCTGTCCCCCTCCCTCTCCGCCCCTCTCCGCCTGCGCGGAGCAGCGGTGCTGACTGCTGGTGCTGCGGCGCCATCTCCATCTCGGCAAACCTGCAGCCGAATGTGTGCGCGTCGTTCTTACATGTTATACCCTGGGTGGTGTGGCCGCTGGTGGGTAAAAAAGCGAAGTGAGGCGCGCCGGGGGGACAGCCGCCGGCGGCAGGTGGGGGCTGCGGCACGGCAGGTCTCCCCAGGAGCCAGAGAGGTGCAGCGCTGCACGTGCAGAGCGTGCAGCACACATCACAGTCATCAGGTCACAGGCAGGTCACAGCAGTTCGAAGCAGTCAAACGGTCATGCTAGTTGCTAGAGATAGCGACGCCCTCCCTCAGCCCGAATTCGCCAGGAACGCGGCAGCCGAGGACTGCTTCGGCGCCACCGGCGCGGCTGCTGGCACAGCTGCCGTCGCGGCTGCTGTCGCGGCTGCGGGTGCGGCTAGAAAGGCGGAAGCTGACGATGCTGGTGCGGCGGCGGGCGCGGTAGGCTGCGGCGGCGCGGTAGGCTGCCGTGCTGTCGCCGCACCGGCAGAGGCGGACGCTCCCTTAGGGCGGGCGGCCTGCTTTACCTTTGCGCGCAGTTTCCGCAGCGCGTCGACAGCGACCAGAGAGACAGTGAGCGAAGCGCCCGCACCTGTTCACGGTCAAAAGCATGAGAGGCGCCCTTCACGCAAGTTACGGCTTGGCATCTGACAAGACGCGCCCGCGGGCGAGTTCATCTCGAGGGGAAGCACCGCCCTCTCGAGGTCGCGCCCCTCGCGCAACATCTGCTCGAGGTTGACATACGCCTGGCCAAGCTCCTTTTCCACCGAGCCTGTTCACATGCGAGACGTTTGAACCTTGTTCACGATTGCAGCGGCGAACGCTGTCTCTGGCGCGCCGGCGGCGCCACGGCCCTTGAGCACAAAGTACACGTCGGAGTCCTACATATTCAAACACGCACGCTGCAAAACAGAATGTTGTGAACAAGTCTCGTGCGCAGCCGTAACAAGGCGAGGGCCTGCTCGTCCTCCGAGCGAAGCGCCTTGCCAAGCGACTCTGCGGCGGCGGAGCCGTCGGTGAGGGGGAGCGAGTGGCTGAAGTTAACGTCGCACTGCCCGCCGCGGCACTGCACGGCGCCGGTCTTTAGTCGCGCGGCCCCGGGGTCAAGCTCGAGAAGCTCCACCTCCACCCACACAGACTCGACCGACTCGCCGCCGCGCAGAGCCTCGGGCAGCGAGAGCGAGCGGACGTCCACGCGCAGCGCTCCTGGCCCGTCCGCCGCGGCCGCCTCTGACGCGCCCGCAGCGCCCGCCTTGCCTCCTCCCCTGCCGCGGTAGGCTGACTGTATCGTCGCCGCAGCGGCGTCGGCCTCGGAGCGCTCGGCGGGTGCGCGCAGCGAGACGGCGCTGGGTGGCGGTGCGTCGCGCAACGCCATTACGACGGTGAGGCTGCCCGCGGGCTCGCCCCTCGCGTCGCGCAGCGGGAGCGTCTCGTCGAGGTGGTGCGAGGTGAGGAGGTCTGCGAGGGGCAGGTCGGCGTAGCCGAGGAGGCCGCTTGCATCCTGCGAAAGGGAGGGAGAGACACCGATGTCGTGGGGAGTCGCTAGGGCGACTATTAGGGCAGGCGAGGTAGGGCGGGCGTCTGAATGCGTTCACCTCTTCGTTCTCATCGAGGACGGAGAAGCGCAGCGCCGTGCTCTGCAGGTACTTGGAGAGCCGGCCATCGAGGTCGACGCCGAACCGGAACTCGGCCTCGAAGCGCGGGTCGGTGCCCGATGCGGTGGCCGTCTCCTGCTCACCGAAATCGAAGAGGTCGAAGTGGACGTACGGGGCCGCGCGCAGGCCGTGCGCCCGCAACCGGAGGTCGGTCGCATACCTGACGCTCACCGTCAGCTCGCGGTCGCGCGATCCGGCGCCGATCGGGGCGAGGGCGAGCGAGGCCACGTCGGGGAACTGCTGCATGAAGGCGGCGACGGCCGCGTCGATCCGCCGGCGCAAGCACATCGAGAAGACGAGCAGCCCGACGGGCCTCGCGGACGCACGCGCGGGGGGCTGGCCAGCTGGCTCCGCCGTGGCGGGCGGCAACGCGTAAAGGGGGGCGGACTTGGAAAGCGCGCCCTTTGGCGAGTGGAGCAGCTCGCGCAGGGGCACATCGCAGGTTGCAACCCGCTGGCACTCGACGCCCCACGACTGGTGGAGCTCGAAGCGGAGCGCGGCGGTGGCGAGGTAGTGCAAGAAGAGGTCGTCAACGGTGAGGACATACTGCGCGGTGAAGCCGTACGCAGGCGAGAGCCCCGCCCGCAGCGGCGTCGCCTGGGTCTCGTGCTGGAAGAAGTCGAGCGATACGAAGGTTGAGGGGCGGCCACCAAAATGCTCCTCGGCGAGCGAGCACGAAACGACAGACACCTCGAACATGTTCTCGTCGGGCGACACGTCGAGCTCCGTGCGCGCGCCCTCCGAGATGAGTGAGCCAGCCACCGACTCCTCGTCCGCTGCCCGCGGCAGCGGCGGCGCGCTGGGGGCGCGGCCCGACAGGTACTCGCTGCGCTGCGCCTCGAGGGCGGCTGCGCGCTCCGAGTGTCGTAGAGCACTCTTGCTTGCCGTCGCCAGCTCTCGCGTTCGGAGCTGCAACTGCTTTTGCAACTGCGATCGCTCCTCCGCCTCTCGCCGCTTGTGCGCGTCGAGCTCGGCGCGCAGCGTCTCGGAGAGGCGCTGTGCGATGGCTAGCAGGCCCTCCGCCTTCTCGAGAGCGACGCGGAGCTCGTTGTTTTGCGCGAGCACCTCGTGCACCTGCTTCTTGGCGAGCGGGGAGAGGCCGAGCTTGGAGAGGTCCGTGTCCTGCAGCCGCAACGCCGACGCGCCGTCCCGCGCCGCCGCTCCTCCGCCGTCCGCTGGCGGCTGGGCTTTGCCGCTCTTGGCCGCGGGCGTGGCCCGCACCAGCGCCAGGGCGCGCTCGAGGTCGTCGGGCGACACGCCTGTGTCGCCCACGAGTGTGGCGACGCGCTTCTCGAGGCACTGCACCTCCTGCCGCGCCTGCCCCGCCTCGGCCTGCGCGCGCTGCACCTGCCGCTTGGCGGCGTCGCGCTCTCCGTGCGCCGAGGCGAGTCGCGAGTCGCTCGTTGCGTGGGCCTCAGCCGCAATCTGCGCCTTGTCTTCCGCATCCTTGACCCTCGTGCGCAGCCGCTTCACCTCCGCCTCGCGCTGCAGCACCTGCTGCTTGAGGACGGAGAGCTCGCCCGCCTCCGCCTCGGAGAAGACCTGCGACAGGATCCGCTCGTTCTCGCGCTCCAGATCCACCTTCTCTGCCCGCAGCCTCTCCACCAGCAGCGCCGCTTCCTCACCCTCGTCGGTAGCCAGTTGTAGTCGTTGCGCCTCCTGCCGCAGCCGCGTGCTCTCGCTTCGCTCCTCGCGGATGACGCGATTCATCTCGCTCAGCTGGGAGAGTACCTTCTCGTGGTTGGATCGCACGGCGCCAAAGCGCGCCTAGTCACGCTTCCCTGTGTGAAGAGACGCCGCTCACGGCGGCTGCCCCTATGCTCTGTGGCGCTGGAGCACTTCGAGGTGGTCGTATCTCTGCGAGAGGAGAGTGAGCTGCGCGGTCCGCTCCTTGACGGTGCGCCGCAGCTCAAGCACGTGCAGCGTTTCTTGCACACCCGTCGCCCCGCCCTCGCCGATCGCCGCCGTCGCGCCCGCCGCTCCGCTGAGGGGCGCCGCGGCAGCCTTGTCTCGGAGCTCGTCCAGCTCCGCATCCTTCTCGCGAACCAGCCGAATCAGCGCCGCCACCTGGTCACCATCGCCATCGGGCATGGCGGTGCTGGCCGCCTCCGCCGCGACAGCCGCAGCCGCCGCCTGATCCGCACCGCCGGTGTCCCCGACGCCATCGGGAGGCGTCTGCTGCGCATTGCATGCAGCCGCCGGCCGCGGCTTTTGGCCCTTCGCCGCGCCACCGCCGCCGCCATTCTTGGGAGTCCGCGTAGCAGCCGGCGGCGTCCGCGGCGCCCATGCCGTGCGCGGCGTGGCCGGAGGGGCGCCGGCGCTCGCGGGGCGGCGCTTTGCCGCCCGGCGGGTGGTGCCATCACTGCGTGCGGCTCCATGCTTGTAGAGCGTCAGCTGCTGCGCGAGGCGGCGGTGCTCGTTTTCCCTCTGGGCGAGGCGCACCTCGAGCTGCGCGATCTTCTCGTCCTTTGACGCCACCTGCGCCGCCCGCGCGCGCTCCGCCAGCGGCGCGTCCTTTCCCGCGTGTGACGCAGCGGAGAGGTCGGAACGGATCCGCTGCATCTGCACGCCGAGCTGCTTGACCTTCTCGCCCTGCTCGAGGTTGTGCCGCTTGAGCGCCGCGTTCTCCTGCTGCAGCTTGAGCAGCCGGTCGTCGCCACGCTGCCCCGCCTGCATCATCACCGGCCCGCTCTGCGAGGCGAGCCCCATCCTGCCCGTTGGAGCGCGGGACTGTTTCATGTACGGACCTCCTCGAGGTGTCGAGGTCGTGAGAGGGGCAAATCGTAAGAGGGGTGGCCCAGACAGCGATACGTCAGCACCTCCCTGACCCTCCTGACTGAGCTCTGAGGGTCACCGCCCGTCGACCTCGACGCGCCCTTTCCATTCTTCCGACGGACCCCGACCGCGAGGCCGAGGGCCGACTACCAGCGCAGAGCCGGCCGCAGTGAGATTAGGAACGATGTTCATCGCAGTACGGCTCTAATCACTAATGCGCTCGTTGCCGCGCGCGCGCAAAGTCATAGGCTCATAGGATCCGGAGGGTGAGACTCCGAACAAGTTCCATTGTGCAGCATCGAAGAAGCGCTCCGGGTCGACCGCTTCCAAGACTGCCACCGCCTTCTCCTCCTCATCCTCACCACGCACGTACACAGGTCCTCCCTCAGCATCCCGTCCCAGGGTTCCACCGCCCGCCTTCCCGGGGCTCCGGTTCTCCCTGATTCGCTCTTTTATTCGCCAGCCGAGCGTCGCCTGACGGCCGCTGTAGCCGAGCAGAGTGCTCTTCAAAACAACAACAACAACACACGGAAGAGAGAGGATTTCCGCATGGGAAGGGCAGGGGAGAGCAAGAAACGACGAGCGAGGCCTGCAGCACTGCGGCCACCCTGCCAACCAGCCCCCGAACCGTCCCGCAGCTCACAGACCAGCCAGCAGACCCGGAGCAGCACCACCGCCTCCCCGCGCCCCCCCCCTCCTCCTCCCTTCCCCTCTACCTAAGAGCACTCGCCACGCGATGCGGTCGCGCCCCATATTTCCCATTGTACCTATCTCACAGAGCCGCGCGCGCGCGCTGCCGCTGGGGCGTGGGGGTGGGGCTGCAGCCTGCACTGCTTATTTAAAAATGGTGATCGGTATATCTCCCCTTTCCATCTCGTATACCAGTAGCTCTTTCTCCCGGCGATCTTCTTAATTGAAACAGAATGTGAATCATGGCCTGACGCATGCATACGTGTACGTGAGAGCGGTACCGTGACCGTCCAGAGTCGCACGGCGCCAGAGCCACCACGACCTTTCTTTGTCATGAGCTATGGCCTGTGGGAGGGTCATGCATCTGCACGATGCGCAGGAGCGCGCCCCCCATTACTTGCAGACCTCACGGCCGGTGATAAGCTTCGTGCACTCGCCGCCGCCGCCTTTCGGGGCCGGAGCTGCCTTTGCCGCAGGTTTCGAAGGGGCCGGCTTTGCCGCCTTTGGGGCCGCGGCCTTGGGCGGCGCAGCCTTAGCCTCCTTCGCCTTGGCCTTCGCTGCCGCTGCCGCTGCCTGCTCTTCCTCCTTCTTAGTCTTCTCCGCCGCGGCCGCTGCAGCCTCGGCGGCAGCTTTCTGCCTAGCAGCCTCCTCCTCGGCCGCCTTCTTGTCTGCGGCAGCCTTGGCGATGGACTCCTCCTTGAGACGCACGTCCGCTAGGGCACGAGCAGCTTGCTGGCCGGCCTTGCTCCACCGTGGCGCGCCGAGGTTGGGCGAGGAGCACTCTGGCTCGATGTCACAAGCCGCGAGCGCCCTGGACGAGAAGAGCAGTGGCGCAAGTCCGAGCGACGTGCCCAGCGAGAAGGCACTGCGGCGAGAGTGCACCGCCGCCGCCCCAGACTTTGCCGGGGGCGTCGGCGTGAAGCTGAAGGAGAGCGCGAGGATTTGCACGAGCATTTGGTTAGGTTGGTGGAGTGCCCGTTTGGTGGGCCATTTTTGCGGAAAGAATTTGTTGTGTGCGGAAAGAATATTTGCGGCATAACACTTGGCACGGTTCTCTCGATATTTTTGGAGATAACACTTGGCACGGTTCTCGGGCGACGGCTAGCACCACACTCCTTCCTCTCCTTAAAATCCCTGTGTGTGGTGGCGGCGTGCCGTCCTCCCATCCCTCCCTTGGGTTGCCTGCTTTCTTTCTTTATTTTTACGGTTCTCTCGAGGTTCTCGAGGTGGAAATCCTTTGGCCGCGTTGGGTAGCGAGGATTGGTGTGACGCGATCCACGCAGGCGTGGTTTCTGACGGCCGACCGTCAGTGCACGGAGTTGCCCCTTCTCCGACTGCCCCGGCTAGTTCCCGAGTTTCGCGGGAGTGACCCCATGCGTCAAACTCGAGACCTAGCGCGGGTGGGTTGGAGGGGGCTCGCTGCAAGGAAGGGCTGTGTAAGAGGCCGATCCCCGTAGTCCAAGCCGTAGTCCGCCCCACTCCTCCCCATCGGGCGGCATAAGCGGCCACGCCTCGCAGATTCGTTTCTCGCGCCTGGGTCCAGGCGCGCGGGGCATCCCCCGGGTCGCTCGACCAGCGTCCAGCGATCCGAGGAGTGGCCGCTATGAGAGGGAAAGAGCGGGGCCCCTCGACGCCTCTGTCCGGCCCTCCGAGGGGGGAAGGGAATTGGCAATTGCGGGGTCCCCACGGGCGCCTCAGTTCGGCCCTCCGAAGGGGGGGAGGGGAGCAAGGGGGTGGGGGGGTCGGGGCGGTGGGGAGGGGTCTCGGTTGGCACGGAACTCGCGCGCGCTGGGTACTCTGACAGACACAGGTACACCACGGGAGCCGCCTAAGCGACTCCTGCGAGGACGGCGAGGCACTCTCTTAGCTCCGTGCTGCGTGCACTCGACCGCCCTCGGCCTCGCCGCAAGCTCATTGAGAATCTGCTCTTGCGATGGCCGAGAGAGCTTAGAGAGCGAGAGAGAGAGCCGTGTGAAGAACGACTGAGATCGCTGTAACTAACAAAAACGAATGGGCACTTAGTTACTGTCCCACCAGTCGCCAGCGTGCGCGACTACTAGAGTGCCCGTCAGACAAGTGTCCAGGGCCTCTCGGTCTCCAGCCGAGCGTGTTCTGTCTTCTGACTGTTGTCACTTGTGAGAGAGATTTTTGTTGTCGTTCACTTGATTGTGCGGGAGAGAGAGTTTTGTCGCAATTAATATTTTTCCTGTCCAACGGCAACGCCTGTGTCAGTGAGCGCGCGGAGAGAGTTGTTTTTGTCCATTCTTTTATCTGTGTAGGAACCCCCACGAAACCCGAAAAGAAAACGATTAAACGTGTCTACCCCGCTTGGAGTGTTCTTGAGTGTTGCTGTGGAGCGTCCACAGTTCAACATACGCGCTCGCGCGCTCGCGTCTGCTGGCGCCCAGAGAACACGTTGCACCTCATGCTCCCGGCGGAGCCCAACTGCTCGCACTCGACAAGGCACAGTCCCATCCACTCGCGGCCCAGCGCTGAAGAAGTCGAACTTCCAGTCTCGATGGCATCGTCGATGGAAGACGATGCGGCTCGCGCCGGGTTGTGTGAGCTCGGGGCGAGCGTGAGGCGGGGGTGGTTTTATTGCGGCACAAGTACGCTGTGCTCTTGTGTGACAGTGCGCAGTCAGCAGAGGTAGAGCTTCCACGCTCACCATGTGACGCCGGAGTAGTGACGCCGGCACCAGAGCCCCAGAGCCCCCACGAGAAGCCGAACGCCCCGTCGCGCCTCCGCTCCGCCCTCGCACAAATAGTGAGGACACACACGCCGCGGCGCAACTACTCGTCCGCGGCCCCGGCCGGCCCCGCCGCCGCGGCGGCGCGCGCCTCGGCCGCGTGTGTGGCGAAGCCGCGCGCCGCGAGCGCCCACGCGGCCACCAGCATCGCCGCGCCGACGAAGAAGTGCATCCCGGGCAGCGGCAGCGGCGGCGCCTCGGCGGTGAAGGCGGCGAGGACAGCGGCGTACAGCGTCGAGCCGATGGCGCCGGTGAGCTCGGTGAGGGCGCCGAGTGCGCCGAGGAGTGCACCTCGCTCGCCGGGCGGCGCGATGTTGGTGAGGAGGGCCTGGAGGGCGGGGATGCAGACACAGCCGACCGAGACAACGACGATGGAGGCGAGGAAGCCTGTGGGCGAGGGGGAGGCGCCCGCGCCGCCGAGACCGGCCGCGAAGACAGCGAGCCCGTAGAGGACGGCGCGCTGAAGGCCTGCTCACGCGTGTGTGTGTGTTGATCAGACGCTGTTCACACAGGCGCGGCAGCAGGACGGCGCGTCGCGGGCCGAGGCGCGGCACGAGCAGCCTCGGCGCGACGGCGAGCATGAGGCCCACCACCACCATGATCGGGCCCGTCTGCTGCTGCGACCAGCCAAACCTATAGGGACAGCATCGGCTCAATCAGTGGCGATCCGTGGTGCAGACGCGTCAGCTGCTGCAGTGCAGCCGGACCGCACGCTGGCGTAGTTGACGAACTGCGCGTCGAGCGCATTGCGCGCGAGGGAGACGAAACCGTATGCCAGCGCGGCGCTCCGCAGCAGCCCGGCTCGCCCGAAGAGGCGGCGGAGGGCACCGATCGGGTTGGCCTCCCTCAGGTCCACCTGCGGCAGATGCAGTAGAGGGCGGTTGCAGTCGAGAGCGAGAAGGCTCTGAGGTGCATCTCGGCTGCACCTCGGCTGCACCTCGGCTGCTGCCTCCGCCGCCGGTGCGGCGGGTTGGACTCCGGCACTACATCTCCGTGTGAGAGGATGTCTCATCTCTCTGTCGGCCTGCTGCCTCCGCCGCCGGTGCGGCGGGTTGGACTCCGGCACGAGCAGCGCGATGAGGGCGGCGTTGACGACTTGCAGCGCGGCGGCGATCCGGAGCGGCGCGCGCGGGCCCAACTTTGCTCCGAGCACGCCTCCGATGGGGAAGGCGAGCAGGAACGCGCCGCCCACCGACAGGCCCTGGAAGACGCCTATCGCAACACTGACCTTCTTTCTCGAGTCGGCTTCTCTTCGTGTCGTCCACACGACCGGCGCGGGAGACGCCGAGGTTCTGCGCGCGCCGCGAGGCGGGCGAGCAGTCCGCGACGTACGCCTGGCAGATTGGCGTCATGCAGGACGAGCACCCGTCGATGAGGTCCGCGAGGTAGAGCCGGCCGATGGATCCGGCACCGGCGGACGCCTGCAGCAGGTTGGTCGCGGCGAAGCCGAGAGCGGACCATGCCATCAGCGGCTTGCGGCCACGGACGTCGGAGAGGGCGGAGAGGAGGCCGACGCCGAGGAAGGTGAGCAGCTTGTCCACCGTCTCCACCCGCCCGCTCAGCGCGATCGCCGCAGGGCTCGGCGCGGTGCTGCCGTCGGCGTTCACTATCAGCCGCACGAGGTACTGCACGTTCACGGCGTTGAGGCCGAGGGAGAGAAAGTAGAGCCAGTTGGAGAGGATGGCCCAGCCGTACGACGGAGGCGCCCACACGGCCGGCACGGCTCCGCCGCGCTTGCCGCCCGCGGCAACCAGCTGATCGGCCTTGCATTGCCGCGGAAGCGCCGGACGGTGGCCGGGCGCCGGCGCCGGCGCCAGCTCGGAGGAGGCGGCGGCCGCACAGGCGACAACGAGAAGAGGGAGCCGCATTACAATTGTATGGGAGTCAGCAGTCGCAGCCGGGGAGGACTGGCAAAAAAACGGCAGGGCGGCGCACGTGTATCCTCGCCGCCGCGTGCGCTTTCGCGGGCGCCCGCTCCCGTCAAGAGCGACGAAGCTCGAGCGACGAAGGTCGCGTCTGCCGACTGCCGTCTCTCGTACTCTTCACTCTCCAGCCCAGGTGCAGGTCGACGTCCCCCCGCCAACAGGACGCATCCCTCGCCGCCGCCTTTGAAAACGGAGAAAGGTTTTCCACTCTCGCCCAAATCCACCAAGTCGAATCGGCTCTTCCTTGCACATACAGTTACATACACTCCGTGTGGATCATCATCATGGCGCGCTGACCGCTCACCCACACACAATGACGGCGCGCGTCAATGCGTCAGGCCGCCGCGCGCCCCTTCTTCAGCCCGCCACCTGGTCGAGCGCGTCGCCGAGCAGCCCCTTGGCCACGCCGAGGTCGCGCAGCTGCTCCACGCCGCCGCTCGCGCGCACCTCGGCGGCGTGGTCGGCCACGAAGCGGCGGCACTGCGCGAGGAGCCGCCCGTCGCCCGTCGTGTGCGCCGCCTCGAGCAGCGGCACGGCGGTCTCCGGCCCGACGCTCTCCTGCAGCGCCTGCGCGCAGAGCAGCTCGAGGCGCGGCACCTGGTACATCTGCGCCAGCTGCCGCAGGACGAGACCTCGGCGGCGTCGCGCTACTTCATGCCGATGCCAAACATGGTCCGCCGAAAGTCGCAGACCGAGAGGGTGCTGCCGTCGGCGCTGATGGCGAGGTCGCGAGGCATACGAACCGCGCCTCGTCACCCACGCCATCAACGCTGCCGCAGGCACCGCTGCCCGCGAGCGTAGTCACCGCACCCGTCGCCACCTCCACCCGCCGGATCTTGTCGTTGATGGAGTCCTCACAAACAGCGCGCAGCCGTCCGGGCTGACCGCGAGGCTGTGTGGTTTGTTGAACTGCGCCGCATCGCCCACGCCATCCGCATTGCCTTTTTCGCCGCTGCCCGCGAGCGTCGTGACCGCGCCAGTTGCCACCTCCACCCGACGGATGTAAGTCGGCCACAACCAGCATGCTGCCATCCGGGCTGATGGGATGCAGTAGAACTAGAAGCCTTCGTCCTCGAGGGTTGCTATGCTGCGCACGCGCCCGGTCGCCGAGACGTGCAGGAACGAGTCCTCAGCCGCGACGTACCAGGCACCCGCGTGATCGCTTGCCACGCCGCGCAGGCTGAGGGACGCCAGAGGTCCGTCCTCGCCCTCGAGCTCCAGCGTGGTGACCTGGCCGACGGTGCGCGCGCCAAAGATGGGCGCCTCGAAGCCGGCAGCGACCGCCACGGGCTCGCCCTCCTCACCGCCGTTGCCGTCGCTCTCGGTGCGGACGCGCTTGCCGGAGCGCGACGCCATGGCCATGGCGGAGGTGAGGCGTTGCCACGCGCAAAAAGCTGCGTACCAAGCCCCCTGAAGCCGGAATATCCGGCGCCGTTCCGGCGCCCGCTTATGGGAGGAGGCAAAACATGCAGCACTCAGCCTTCCCTCCCCCTCCCGGATGGAAGTACTACCTGAGCTCGACCGTGCTTGACTTCGCTGTTCAGATGGGAAGCGGTAACCCACGGTGATATGGCCGCATGTGATGGGTGCATGAGCTATCTCGGATCAAGTAGTCAACGCGCACTCTCTTATTTGGTACTCTCGGCAAAACTTTCGTCAACTAGCAAACCCGGTCTTGCAAGGGGCGTGTCTAGACTGGGAGAGAGAGTGAGAGAGATTTTTAGCATTGTTTTGTTTGTTGCTAGACTGGAGGGTTTGCTAGGACCTCCTACTAGGAGGGTTGTGTACGTACTTTTAACCATCAAGCGCGGGATAGGAAGGCGAAACACAGTTAGCGACCAACAACTGGGACACCAGCGCGGTGAAGGGACGTTAAGCCGGGAACACCCTGAAAGAAGAAAAACGTGCCGCGTAGGTTTGGCGCCATGCTCGCCACGCTCTCGATCGCGCTTTCCGCCGCCCTGCCGCACCCTCTGCCGGGCCTGTCCCTCAACGCGACCGCTCGCTACACTGCCGGAATACTCAAGGTCACCTCGCCCGTCGGAGACTGCTCCGTCTTCCATGCGCACGTCGAGCATGAGGACAAGTCCACCCCTCTGATCGCGTGGATGAACGGCGGCCCGGGCGCCTCCTCTCTGATGGGCTTCTTCACCGAGCTTGGCCCGACGCTTCTCAACCTCCAGTCCGTGCCGGCCGCCGGCGCATTCTCCCTCGACGCCTCCGACGGCTGGCGGCCCTTCTCGAACCCGCACGCGTGGAGCCGGCTCGGCTCGCTCCTGGTGTGGGAGCAGCCCGCCGGCGTCGGCTTCTCGCGCTGCCTCGGCGGCTGCCCGCGCGTGTGGAACGACACCACCTCGGCGCTCGCGAACCTCGCCACGCTCAGAGCCTTCTACGCCTCGCAGCCGGCCGAGGCTTCGCGCAGCCTGGTCCTCGCCGGCGAGAGCTACGGCGGCATCTACGTGCCACTGCTGGCGCAGCTGGTCCTGCGCGACGCAAGCCTGCGGGCCAGAGGCGTGGCGCTCGCCGGCATCGCCGTCGGAAATGGCTGCGTCGGCTACGGCGTCGAGGGCGGCTGCGGCCTCGACTCGCTCGACATCTTTGTCTCGACGCTCGAGCGACTTGCGCCCGGAGTCAGCAGGGCCGCCATCGCCACCGCGCGGTCGAAGTGCACACCTGCCGAGCTCCGGACGGGGAGGCAGCCGTCACGACCATGGCCATGACCCTCGCCGTGAGCCTGACTCGCCCCGCCCCAACCCCAACCCTCCCAGGCAGCCCGGCCAGCTCTCGCGCGGGTGCGCGGCGGCGGTGTCGGCCCTCTTCGTCGAGGTTGGCGAGTACAACCAGTACCACTGGTCCTCCCCTTGCGGCCCCGACGGGCAAGGCAACTGGGGCGACGGCTCGGCCTTCGCTTGTGCGACGGGCGTCCTTCCGAGGTTGCTCCGCCCTGCTGGCCACTCTAGGCTGCTCGGCCACCTCTCTCTCCCTTGGAGAGGCCTTCTCGTGCCCTCCTCTACCTAGCAGCTAGTACCTCTGGGCTCCTAGGCCACCTCACTCTCCTTCCCGTACCCTGGTACCCTCGCGCCTTGAGGCACCGCTTGAGGCACCTCGCGCTGCCGGCCACTCACTGATGGTTCGCACTGATCGTTGATCACTCAGTGGTACATTTATCATCAGGTACCTCGCGCTGCCGGCCACACAGCGCGCGCTCGGCGTCATCCTGCCGGGCGAGCCGCCGCTGGCGTGGGAGAGCGGTGGGGAAAGACGTGCTGTGAACGCCATATCCCTTTCTAGGCGAGCCGCCGCTGGCGTGGGAGAGCTGGGACGGCGACTCGCCCTACTACCACATCACGGAGGCGGACGCACAGCCAGTCGACCTAGATGCGGAGTGCAAAGCCGTGTGTATTCCGACTAGCACTCGAGAGGACGCGTCCTCGGCCGTATTCCAGTCCTATGCAGTGCGCCCACCACACCCCCGTGTTCACGACGCAGGCCCGCCTACCGCGACCTCCTCGCCGCGGGGGTGCCCACCCTCATCTACTCGGGCCTCGCAGACACGGGCGAGCCGGACGTCGGCGCCGAGCGGTGCGTGCCGGTGTGAACAGAGCCTCTTCACGCCTCCAGCTGTGAACAGGCGTGCCGGACGTCGGCGCCGAGCGGTGGGTGCCGCGCGTCGCCGGCGCCGCGCAGACGGAGCCGCGGCGCAAGTGGGGCGCTCCGCCGCGCTACGAGTTTGCTGGCCACGTCGAAACGTACGCGAGCGGGCTCACGTTCGCCACTGTCGCGGGCAGCGGCCACCTTGTTCCGGCCGCTCGCGATTCGTACAATGATGAAGTGAGAGTTCATGATTAGGCGCCGGCCACTTGGTGCCCGCCGACCGCCCCGCAGCGGCGCTGGCGATGGTGGGCGCTTGGGTCAAGGGGGAGCGACTGCCCGCGTACAAGGGCGCGGCGTGCAAGCGGCTGTGGCTCGGCCGGCACTATGCGGACTGGTGCGACTCGCCGCCGCAGCAGCCGGCGGCGGTGGCGCCTGGCGCGCACTACCACCCGAGGATCGCTGCGTGATGCGGGTCTTCATGCCGCGTCCCCTTTCAATTGCGGCTTGATTTTGTGCGGCGCGTCCCCAACCGTATCTCGCAACGATCTCGCCGGCCTCACCGGCCCTCTTATGTATGTACAAAGAGAGAGGACTCGACTTTGGGGGAGAGCCGTTTTGGTGGTCGTGGAGGGTGGAGGTCGTGGAGGTGTGAGGAGGTCGTGAAGTTACGGCTTCACGAACGAATTCCACCGTGCGCGCGCCGCGCACAGACAGACCACACCACAGCGATTTTGCTCGCCCCCTGGCGACACAGGACGCACTTTTACTCATGACTGCGACGTGTGCGAGTTTGGTGTTTGCCCCCTTTAGCGTCACAGGGGCGCCCTCTTCTCTTCAGGGGGCAACGTTTACGCTCACCCGCTCGTGCTCGCCGAGCTTAGTCATCCTTGCAGTACCAGGCGCTGCCCTCGGGTCCGTCTTTGATGAACTCCACGGCGTTGCAGCCCTTCTTGATGTAGGTGAGGTCCAACTCGCAACCGCTTGTGAACTCAGGCTTCTCACACCTGCAGAGAGAGGGGAGGGGAGGTGGCTGGAAGATTTACTGGGCGGAGGGTCCTCTTCTCCACCGCCGCCGCCCATACACATGCGCACTTTTTAGAGTTGCACTGCCCCTTGTTGCCTGATGGGCCGCCCGGCGAGCCACCAGCTTTGTCGTTGCAGTACCAGCCAGCACCGCATTCACCGGATTGAAAGTACTTGGGCTTCATCAGCAGGTTGAGCCCCTTCACGCCGCAGCCTCCGTGGATCCACCCCTCGTCCAATTCGTCGTGCTTGCGCGGCTCAAACACAAATGCCGTGTGCCCTTTTTTGTCCTTTGTCTTCGTCCCGCCGTTGCTGCTGAGTGTGCAGCCGCCCTCACCGTCATAACTGCAGCAGTAGCCTTTCTTATAGCCCTTCTTTTCTGCCTTCTTGGTGCACTCCGCCTCGCACGCACCGGCGACGTCGATGTTGAGGTCGATCTCTTTATCTTCGTCCTTACACTTCGTATCCTCCAGTGTCGATTCCGTCATGAACACGCCCAAATCGAACCCTCCCGAGCCGCCGTTGAATCCGCGAGCAGCGGCTGCGACAGGGGCAATTTTTGACAAGGTGCGAGTCAAATCATTGATCAATGGAGCCTCGGTCAGCGCCTCGTCGCTGCTGCCTGGTACGTAGTCGAGGAAGTCGATCCAAAATCCCTCGGAGAGGAACGGGCTGAAGTCCTCCGGAGCCTCGCCCTCACCGCCGCCGCCAAAGAGGCCGCCCGCCCAGCCGCCCAGCTGGCCCGGCAGGGTCGTCACGGCGCCGAGCGCCGAGTCCAGCGCCCCAACCGGCGCCAAGAGACAAGTCGTCACCAAGCACAGGGGTCGCATTCGATGATCGTAGGTGCACCTTCCAAGCGAGACTCAACCTCGCCGACGTCTACTTCGCCGTCGCCGTCGCAAAATGATGACCGACGATCGCAATTGTACGTCTCTTTCTCTCTCTCTCAATTGTACGTACTTTTAGCTTCTGGGAGAAAAGGGACAGAGGGTTGTGTTCTCTAGGCCCCTAAGGGCCCAACGCGCGGCGTGAGAGCTCGGAAGCGAGCTTTGCACGGCGATCGAGGATGGCGCGGTTCAAGTCGGCGAAGGGACGGCTGGCTGCTGCGCAAAGTGATCAGTTCTAATGAATGTACCGGGGCCCAACGGATAGATGAATCCGGGGCACCCTCCGCTCGAATCCCTGGCCGGGGGTTCGAGGTGGCCCCCACCCTGGGGCCTCCCATCAAAGGGACTGCGGCAGAAGACGCCCAATCTTGCACAAGTGCAAGAACCATACATCAAATCCAGCCGCTGCTGGATAGCCCCAGACGACTCCGTGAACTCTTTCGGGGACCTCGGGTTGTGGAGCACCGTGTTGTACTCTGTTCACGTAAACGCACAACCCTACTCTGTTCACACCGAGCAGCGAGGAGCGCAGTGGTTCACTCTTCACAGGCTATACCAGACGGCGCCATGGTCGCGATCACGCAGCCGCTCTCCTCACCGACTCTATCCGCTAGAGGTCGCAACTACCTCATCACTGGCGGGACACAAGGCCTCGGCTTCGAGATTGCGACCCAGCTGAAGGCCTGCGGCGCCGCCAAGGTGGCAGTCATCGCCCGCAACGCCGAGAGGGGCACAAAGGCGGTCGAGCGGCTTCAAGCTGCCGCTGGAGTGCAAGAGCCCTTTGAAGCGTTTTTCGTCGAGGCGGACCTCTCCGACGCCACCGGTCCTGGCAAGGCGGTGGCTTTGGCGCTCGCCGCGATGGGGGCCATCGACGGAGTGGTGAATGCTGCAGCGACGACAGCTCGTGGCAACCTGGCCTCGACGACCGCCGAGGACTGGGACGCGATGATGGCGTGCAACGCGCGAGCACCATTCCTCATCACGCAGGCTGCGACGCGGCACATGATTGAAAAAGGCATCCGCGGCTCCATCGTCAACATCTCGTCGGTGGCGGGCAAGGGCGGCGCGCCGTTCCTGATGGCATACTCGGTCTCCAAGGCGGCCGCGTCCGCACTCACGCGCAACAACGCGGCGGAGCTCGCACCGCACGGCATCCGGGTAAACTGCGTCGAAATGGGCTGGTGCGCGACGGACAACGAGGACGCCCTGCAGCGCAGCGTCAAGGGCGATGACTGGCTGCAGCAGGCGGACGCCTCTCAGCCGCTGGGCCGCATCCTCCGGCCGGCGGATGTCGCGGCGACGGTCTGCTTCCTCCTGAGTGACGCGTCGCTCATGATGACTGGAAATGTGGTCGATCTTCACCCGGAGTACTCGAGCGGGATGATCTCCCGCCTCGCGGACGAGGCCGCGGGCGGGCGTTAGTTCCTCACGCGGAGCCGCCCGACGACTCGCAGCGGGCATCGATAGTATAGGACGGGGCGGTCTGACTCACGGATTCTCACGGGGGCGGGGATATGACCGATCCTGTGCCTCTTTGCCTCCCGGCTCGAGCCTCCCGGATCCCCCGGTTGCTCCGCCGCCGGACCCCCCCCTCCACCACCCTCGCCCAGGGGTCTACAAAGCTGTCTTAAGGTCCGACAGGTTCGGCACCGGGCACCGCCTCGCCCTCGGTACACAGTTGTATACCATATGCGCCTGCGCCTGCGGGCGGACCCTTACAGATGTCAGATCACAGATCACTTCGGTCATCAACCTCACATCCAGGGCCGGAAAGCTAAGTCCTAAGAACCACACCCAGCGTACTTGCCGGAAATTTTCTTGTGGCAAAAGCCAGCCCCTTGGAGTGTGAAGGCTTCGTAGCCCTCCGGTCTACTACTGAAGATCCGCAGGACTGGAGCGAAAAAAAGCAAGGGAGTGGGCAGAAAGAAAGAAAGAAAACGCACAACCCAGTGGGCAAAAGCCAGCTGGCGGAGGCCAAAAATCTTTTTCCCGGCGCCGGTTGCCCTTTGGGGTCCCGAGCATGTCGGCGAGCGGCAGTCGCGGTGGCTCGTCTGACCCGTTCTGGCCGTCCGACCCGACGGAGGAGGTGGAGGAGGTGGCACAGGCCGTCTCCAAGGCCATCGTTCGCGCCGGAGCCTTTCTCTCCGACGCCAGGTGCTCGTTCTGCGTGCTCGGCGCCGTATCAGACGCGCTGCCGAGCACGGGCCGAGTACTTGCAGAGCGAGGCCTTCGCGTCGCCGACATCCGCGGCGCGTGGGCTGTGCCTGCAGCGGTGTGCGACGCGCCGACCGGTGCCGGTGCCGCCGACCGGCCGTGGTGGCCGGCCGCCAGCCGGCGGCTCGAGCCGTACCTGCGCCACGACCTCTGGCGCAAGATTGACGGCGATGTGCGCAGTGCACTCGATACATCTACGCCACACACTCACGCGACACGTCACGTCCACGACACACGTCCACGACACGCCCCACTGACACACGCCCCGCTGACACGCCCCGCCAGGTGCGTGCCGGCCGGGCAGTCGACTGGAAGGCGATGGGCCTCGACGCTGCTTCGGTCGTCGTGGTGAAACACCGTGAGCCTGTCGCCGCCCAGAGCGTGCGGCTCGCACGCGGCGCAGGCTCCTCCACAGCGCTCCCCTCTCTACACCCCTCCTCTCGCCCACTCCTCTCCTCTCACCCACTCCTCTCCTCTCGCCCACTCCTCTCCTCTCGCCCACTCCTCTCCTCTCACCCACTCCTCTCCTCTCGCCCACTCCTCTCCTCTCGCCCACTCCTCTTGCTGCCCCCGCCGCAGCGGCCGCGGTGCGCAGCGGCGCGGCGCGGCGAGCAGCCGTGTCCACTGCGCGCAAGCACTTGCGGCGTCCGCGGCTCGCCGCCCTCGCATGGCTGTGGCCCTTCCCTTGGATCTGGCTGCTCGGCTGGGCCGTCGCCGTCGCCCTCGTCGTCGGCTCGCGGCTGCTGGCTGAGAGCATTCTGGCAGCGGCGCGCGCGAAGGCGGCGGAGGCGGAGGTGGCGGCGGCGACGGCGGCGGCTGGGGCGTCATCCGGCTACGGGTGGCGCGAGGCGACTTCGCTCGCGCTGGCCAACCTTGCCGTCCTCGCCTACGTCCGGCGAGGCCGGGCGCCGTTTGTGCGGGCCGTTGGCGAGGCCACGTCGCTCAAGCAGGCGGGCACGACCGCTCTCAGGCTGCGCAAGCTCGACCTCGCAGCGCAGCAGTACACGGCGGGCGCGCGCCGCGCCGCCAGCATCCGATCCGACGGCTGGTGGCTCAACGGCGGCGCTTGCCGCCTGCTGGACGAGGTGCGCTGAGATACAGCCGAGATGCAGCCGAGATGCAGCCGAGATGCGGCCGAGATGCGGCCGAGATGTAGAGATGTAGCTCGCTGACCGACCGACCGAGGCTGCCGTTCGTAGCTACGCGGCGCGTGCCTCAACAACTTGGCTGCGGCCAGGATCGAGCAGGCGGAGTGGGAGGAGGCCGTCGGCGCGTGCACCTCGGCCCTCGCCCTCCGCCCTCGTCGGGGAGATCACCCGAGATCACCCGAGTTCACCCGAGATTACCCGAGATTAGGCCCTCGCCCTCGCCCTCGGCGGCGCTGCAAGCGCAAAGGCGCACTACCGCCGCGCCGTTGCACTGGTGCGTCTCGGTCGGATGTGCGACGCACGAGACGACCTGCTCGCCGCAGACATGCTCCTGCCGGGGGACAAGCAGGTCGACGTCCTGATGCGCACTCTCCAGCGCCGCGCTCGCGGCGGCGACGGCGACAACGGTAGCGACGGCAGCGGAGACGGCAGCGGCGACGATGGCGGCAGCGGCGAGGGCGGCGCGCAAGCAGCGAGGCTTCGCTCGGTTGGAGCCCGCCCGGGCTGCCAGAGACGCGGTTTGGTAAAGGCGGAGCCGAGCGCTGCGAGCCGGCCGGCGCGAGCACCAGGCGGCGCTGAAGGCGCAGCAACTTCGCTCGGCTCTGCCGGCGGCGCGGAAGCAGGAGGAGCAGCAGCCGAAGCGGCAGCGACGGGATACGCCGCAGCCGCAGCCGCAGCAGCAGCCGCAGCCACAGCCGCAGCTGCAGCCACAGCCGCAGCTGCAGCCACAGCAGGCACCGCCGCAGCAGCAGCATCATTGCCACCGGTGAGCTCGCTCGGCTCTGTCGGCGGCGAGCAGCGCGAGCAGCGCTTCAGCTGGGTGCGCTCGTGGCTCGAGACGCGGCTCGTGAACACCGCGTGCGCCGACGAGGACGGTGCCGCGAGACCGCGAGACCCGCCGAGATCCACCGAGAGGCCCGCCGAGAGCCGCGGAGTCTCGCCGACGTTCGCCGAGATTAGGTGCGGTCCTCGCCATCGTCGCGGTCCGCAGCGTGCGAGGGGAGGCGTACGTACGCGTGTGCCCGCGGCCGCGGCCCAGACGGGTGCACCACTTCGACCTGACGGCGGAGCTAACGCGCTTCCGCCTCGTCCGCCATTTCGTTTTTCCGATGGCACCTTTATGCTTGTAGGTGGAGCTCGAGAGCTCGCGAACAAGCCGTCACACTTTTCTGTCGACGGACCCCTTTCCGTGTTTAGGTGGAGCTCGAGTGGGCGGCGAGGCTGTCGGACGGCTCCGCGCCCTTTCGCGGCGGGCTGCGGCTGGACGACCTCACGGCCGACGAGGACGACGAGGACGCGTACGAGGTGGGCCTCAGCTTCGAGCGACAGCCAAAAGAGGACTCGGAGGAGGAGACGTCCTTGCTGAACCTCCTCGGGCCGCTCGCGCCTCGGCTCGCGAGGGGCGCCGAGGGCAAATTGGGCCGGCTGGTCTGGGATAGGGTCCAAGAGCTCCGGCAGGAGTTTCGGCAGCTGTAGTTCTCTGTTTACGAGTTGGCTTTAGAGCCGCGTATTGGCATCTGAAGTATGAAGAGTCATGGGGTACGTACACATCATCGACGTTCGAGCGGGAGTTAGAACGCCCCCAGAGAAAAGAGCGCGCGCGCGCGCGGCCCGCGTATGTGTGTGGGAACGCGGAGCCGCGCAGCCGGAGGGAGCTGCGCGAATCTTTTTTGCTGAGAGAGAAATCGTCACACGCGCGTGCACAAATCACATGCACAACCTGCCCACCACCAGCCACGCCGCCAGGCCACCGCACAGGACCGCAGACTCGGCGATGCGGCCGTGCGCGGCGAAGACCAGCGACGCGGGTGTGCTCGAGATGAGCGTCGCCCCCTCCAGGAAGAGGCTCGCCGGGAAGCGGCGCTGCCGCGCGAGAAATAGCTGGAAGACGCACAGAAAGTCGGAGAGCGCGAGCGCCACGAGCAGGTCGGGGCCGGCGGCGCTCTCGAGCCAGCCGCCGATGAGGACCATGAAGGCCTGGTTCAGGATCGTGCACGGCAGCTTGATGCCTCGGCCGAGGCTGAAGCAGCACATCGAAAAGAATGCCTCGCGCTCGGCACACCGCTCCGCATCTTCCACCTCCAAGTGGTACCGTGCGCAGCGGTGCCCGAACTGCAGCGCCGAGGCTGCCCAGGCAATGTAAACCCATCGGCCCGTGAAGCGGCCCTCGTCATCGAGCGTGGCGAGGGCGGTGGACACGAATAGAGCAGTGAACAGCGACGTGATGAAGACGCCCCGCCACCGCAGGGGCGCCCGCAGCGACTGAGGCAACGCAGTCAGCGGCACGCTAGCCGTGAGAACGCCAAGCCCTAGCCGTGCAGTCCTCGAGGGAGGCCTGCCGGTCAGGCAGCCCACGCAAAGCCGGCTCACGGCCGCGATCGCAAATGCGTAGGAGAGCGCCGAGTGCAGCGACAAACGCAGCGACAAACGCAGGCTCGAGACTTGGCGGGATCGCGACTGCTGCATATCTAGATACAAGTCAGGGCCTGAGAACACAGCCCCCTCTCTCTTTTCTCCCAGTAAGCTAAAAGTACGTATCCGCCGACGAAATGATTTTCGACCGACCGCAGGGAAACGCAGGACGCCCCCCCCCCGACCGAGCTGCGAAACAACGGCGTCCACACCGGCCGCCGCTCGACAACCAAAATTTTCTTCGGCGCTGCGCGCCGTTGCAGTCGAGTGTATGTCTGTGTATCTTCCAGCCCAGGTGCCCAGCTATCGTGCCGCAAAATAGGTGGGTTAAAAAAAATGCGCACAAAAGCGCCCGCCGGTGTGTGTCCAAAGATGTAGCGCTACAAGTTGGGGACCTCGGGGGAGAGGAAGGGGGTGGGGAGGAGGGCCGGGCACCTGCACACGGCCCGCCGCCCTCTTCATGAGAGTTCCCTCGATGCGGACGAGCCCGAGGAGCGCCGCGTAGGCGTACTCGCGCAAAGACGGGTCGAACGCCGGGTCGACGGGAGCGGCGATGACGGCGGTCGGGTCGATGATTCCACGTCGATGAATCCACGCCGAGGCGTGACAGTGACAGCGCGAACGCCCTGCCATCCGGGGTCAAGTGCGTCATCTGGGTGCTTGGGTGAGATATGCACCCACGCGGGGCGGCAAGGCAGCGGCGCACCGAACTCTCGTCCGCGGTGTCTGTGTAGCACTCGGTGGTTGACGCATCCGACACACGGGCAGGTTTTCGCGCTTAGCAGCTGGCCAACGGTGATGACGCCGTCGCGTCACCGACGGCTCGTGCTTGCGTATGATAGCAACCCCTTGTCCGACGGCAGCGTCCTCGCGTCCGCCTCCGCCCGCGCGGCATCATCATTGTCCGCCTACACCACTGCGGCCGCGGCCGCACCCGCGGTGGCAGGGTTTCACACACGCCCAGGCGCAGGTGCAGCAGCAGCCAGTGCAGCAGCAGCAGCTAGTGCAGCAGCGCGTGATCACGCTTGCACACGCGATGGGCGGTCGTCATGTGCTGCAGGATGGGTCACTTTGGACGCGTCCCATCGGAAGGCCGCCGCTTCCACCCGGCTCCGAGAAGGCACAGCGAGGCGCGGTGCAATCAGTGGAAGCACCATCGGATCAAAAAGAACGCCGATGCTGCCCTACAGGCTGCGCAGACAGTGCTAGCTCTTTATAGCGAGGCGACCAGGCGCGAGATGTTCACTCTCGCGCCACATCCCTACAACGGGGTGCATTGTACCCACTTGCACGCCGGCACGAGCGCGGCGCCGCAGTGGGGCAAACGGGGCATCTGGGGCTAGCTCAGCTATGAGCATCACCTCTCCCGCTTCTCGCCATCCCCGAGGAGCAGCGCGCCCGAAGCAGGTGAGTCACGGCCGCTAGGTACAGCGAGCGCGGCGAGCCAGAAGCGAGAAGGGAACGTCAAGGAGAAAATCAGCAGATTCCAAGATTCAATCTCGTTTGACAAAACACGGAGGTCGGGTAACTGGGAGTCGGGAGCTCGGGAGTATAAGAAAATCTCCCAAAATTTTCGTCGGCGCTGACGCGCCGACAAAGCTGGTGTCCGACCCCGACCGCCGGCCGAAACAGCCGCGTCCAGCCCGACCTGCGGCCGGCCGAAAATCATTTAGTCGGCGGACTTGTACTCAACCGGCTGGGTGCCCAAAAAAGAGAATTTTAGAACCAAACTCCCTCGCACAACACCGGGCACGGGACTGGCGCGCACTGGCACTAACACAGGTACACCACGGGAGCCGCCTAAGCGACTCCTGCGAGGGTGGCGAGGCACTTAGCTCCGTGCACCCGCCCACCCCCGCCACAGGCAAGCTCATTCACGACCTGCTCTGCGATGGCCGTGTGAAGAACGACTGAGATGCGCTGCTTCTGCAGCCCCAGCCAGCTCTTGGTGGTCCAAGTCACCTCATCGAGGCACTGGGCCCGCGTCAGCTTGTTCTGTAGCACGTCCGCCGCCTTCCGGAGGATCTCACGGACCCCCTTTCCGAACCCGCCGAACGATTCGAACAGCAGCTGCTGCACTTCGACGCCCTTGTCTTCAAAAAAGAGAATTTTACAAAAGAGAAAGCAGGCTCAGAGTACCTAGGGGTCAGGGCTCTCTAGCCCGTAGCCCGATACCGATCATCCGGCCCGCTGGGTGCGCTTCTTAGCTCCTCGGCCCTGGATGTGAGGTTACCGACTGCACTCCAAGTGCTCCAAGATACGAAACGAACACAACGCACTCTCTCACGTTACAAGGGACATTCTGCAGAGATGCAGGGATGAGCTCAGCCTCGGGAGGAGCTCAGGCGCTTAAGAAAGCGCGAGAGGGTGGGGTGCCACAAAGATGTGGCGGATTAGGCTGAATATACTTTTCCTCTCGCACCCCATCTCTTTTCCTTCCTTTTTTCTCTACAGCACCCTCCCTCTCTTTTCCTCTCTATTTTCCCGGGGAAACCATCAAAATTTCCGGGCTCTGAGCCGAGACCCGAGTCTGAGGCTCGTTTGGGGCCGGCCCAAAATCAGCCAAATCTGCGGAGAGTTTCGGTCCGTTACGCAAATGCATGCGCGACTTGCACTCTTTCGTGCCACTCGCTCGCGGGTGCGCGGGGCATGGCCTCCCGCGCGGCTCGCGCTCACTCGGCCTGCCTCCGCCTCACGGCTGGCTGAACACGCCATGGGTCCGCCTGGTGCGGCGCTGCTCGCTCGCTGCGCTGCAGAAAGCTGCGAGAAGCAGGGTGGCCTCCTGAGCTTGAGCATGGCGCAGCGCGGCTGCTGGTGCTCGAGGGCGGCCGTGCAGTGGCGTGAGGGCCTGATTGGTGGTGACCTCGTGCTGCTTCAGCGTGCGCAGCATGCTCCCTCACCCGGTGCTGAGACATGCTGGTGGGCGACTGGCGCCAGCTTCTCAGTGCTGTCCCTGGCCTTGTGCAGCATGTCGCAATACTCCTGCTGCGCTGACCGGCGCGCGGGGCGCGTCGTGCCGCGAGTGGAGCGAGAGGCTCGAGGCGCGCGGCTGTCGGTCAACCCTGCGGCGCATGCGCGCCGCCAAGGCTGCTCGACAGGCGACTGGCATTGTGGCGACGCGGTCGCCGTTACTCCAACTTTGCTTTGCCGATCAAAAGCGCCCGTCCTTTGCTTTTTAGCCGCCGAAATTTAGCTGGCTGTTTTTTCTTTATAGGCGTCTGCAACTTCCAAGCTGCGTATTCTTCTTGTATTATCGTCGAGTAGTGCAGGTACTCCGTGGGGGCAGTATGTATTCTTGTAAGATGTGCGTATTCTCGTCTCACTGGCTCCGAGTAGAAAAAGAAAGAAAACATGTTACAGTGTGGTGTTCATTAGCTCCGAGTAGAGGGGGCGTCCTGCAGTTAAGGGGAAACCCGGTACGCGGGGCCAACCCTCGGAGACCCGTGTTTACTTTAAGGCCCTTGCCCTGCGAACGCGCACCCCCGGGGCTAGGGCTCTCTAGCCCGTAACCCGATGCCAATCATCCGGCTCGCTGGGTGCGCTTCTGAGCTCCCCGGCCCTGGATGTGCGGTTAATGACTGCACTCCAAGTGCTCCAAGTGCTGCGAAATACCGGGTATTTTGCGGGTATACCTGGAAAACCCCGGTAATACCTGAAAAATACCCTGCGACCGCCTGGGTATCGTGCCGATTTCCTCAATTTTGCCTCAGTGCTCAGATTTTGCCCCAGACCAGCTCTCAGACTCAGGGAAACTCGCGAGTTTCCAGAATGGAGCACCAAACACCCTCTGTTTTCCCTGGAAATTTCCGGAAACGCAAAGTGCTGGGGACCCTCTGAGCTCTGTTTTCCTTTTTGTTTGCCGGAAAAGTATATGCAGGCCAAGTGCCAAGTGGCGGAAGGGTGCCGCCGCGGTGCCCACCGGTGCCCGCAAGGAGCGCCGGCCTTGGAAGCCCGCCGAGCCAGCAGCCGCCAGTGCTGTCGCCACGCTGCCGGCCACGCCCGCGCGCACGCCGCTCGCGCCCTCCTCCTGACCACCCTCTGCGCGCGCATGGTTGCATTCGTTTTGCCGCGCGAGCCGTGGTGAGGCCGTAGAGGCGCCGACAAACTAGAAGCGTGCGCCATGCAGACGCGGAGGAAGAGGAAGGAGGAGAGGTCGAGAGGCGCCACACACGATCGTGGACAGCAAGGTGGTGCAGCTCGGGCAGCAGCCAGAAAAAAAGGGTTTAAAGAAATCAAGGAGATATATTTTCCATTTCGTGCACAAAGAGCACAAAGGTGGCACCCTCGGCCAGCTGAAGCTCTCGACTCGTCCACCTTGCTCTGGACTATGCCGACCTCAAACCACCAGCGCCAGCAACGACGTGCCACGGCTCGCCACGCATCTGTTGCGACCGACGACGTGCCCGACGCCGTCCCGCGGCCGCCAGGAAGAGGCCCGCGCAACCACTTCTGGGACCCGCGGCCGCCGGGCGTGTGGCGGCACAACGAGTCGAACGAACCGAACCAGCGCAGAGCGGCGCGTCTCACGAGCGCCCGCGGCCGCTACGCCGCCGCCGTCCGCGGCCGACGGTGGTCGCGAATCAACGCGGCGCGGTGCACCGCTGCGCCTGTCCTTCCGCGCCGCTGGACGTCGGCCGAGAAGACCGCTTCCCTCTGGGGACCCGACTCCGCGAAGATCGCGCGCGCGTCGTGAGTGGCGGCGCGCGCGCGATCTCCGTTCCCGGGCACGCCGGTCGCAGTGACATGGGCTCCCAGGCTCAAAAGCGCTCAACAGCGAGCTGCTCCTCCTCCTGCCGCCGCTCCGCTCACCGAGACAACTCGGTGCCGCCGTTCTCGCCGCCGCCGCCGCCGCCGCCGCCTCGCGCCTTGCCTCCGTCACCGCCGCCCTCCATCTCGCAGCGGCGCGTCCCTCTGATGGCGCGGGCTCCTCGCTCGTTGGCGCCTCGCCGCCGCCCCCCCTCTCGCCGCCGCTCCGCTCGTGGCCGCCCCATCCCCTGTCAATCCCGCCGCCTCCCCTGTCAATCCCCCCCACCGCCGCCACCGCCTCGCGCGTTTAGCGGGCCTTTAAGCTTAGGAATCCTAAATAGAGGGTGGCCCCACTGGGGCCGCAGGCGGTCCCCAGTGGGGACTCCGGCACTTGATGTGTCCCAGTCACTTGGTCGGCCTGACCTTCCTAGTAGCAATCCTAGGGAGGGTGCCCACAGGACCCAAAAGAAAATAGCTTCCCGCCTCAAAAAGGGACGCACGAGGCAAATCTGATGTTGGAGTGTTCCAATAGGAGCGAGGCCTCTTCCGTTGGGGGACCGAGCACATAGGAAACGAGGGTTTCCCATTGTGACCCGCTCCAGTGCGAGCGTGACACTGCACTCTTTTCTTTATTAGAGGACAGCCTATAAAGAAAAGAAACGCAATGTCGAAGGTGCCACCTTATCAACCACAAAAATAGGCCCGCGCGTGCTGCGCGGGCCCGGCGAGCGACTAGCGAGCCAACCTGCTAGTAAAATAAAAGTTTTCAAAAGGGGCGCAAGTTACGCGGCGAGGGAAAAGGGAGCAAAGAGGGGCAGCAAAAGGGACAAAAGGGACGCAGTGACGCCAGCGGCTGGCAGCGGTGGTCAGGGCGACCAAGCCGGCGATCGCGCTACACTCAGAGACAGGGTTGGTCGGCGTGCGGGTTCGCTGTCCAGAGTCCACCCAACGCGACTCAGAGGTGCATGGCCGAGGCGTCCGAGGCACCGAAGGCAGAAGCCTGGGACGTAAGCACAGAGAAAGGTCACTGCCGCTGGCCATCCCGAAACCGGCACTCGTCGTAGACGGGAGGCGCGGCAGAAGCGGTCTGAGGGCGAAAGGAGAAGCACACCAGGCGGGCAACCTCCAGGCCGCGTGCGATGGAGACGGGCCGCGTGCCATCACAACTTGTAATAGAGGTCGGGTTCGAAGGTGGCGTGTGGCGCCAGGCGAGCACCACAGGAGGCCGGCCGGAAAGCTATCGGGCTGAAGTCCAAGCTCGGGCTTGACAACGGACATGGCGAGCGCATGCAAAGGCAAGGAATGCGTACGGCCGGGCCAGCTGCATGGCTGTGGCGGGCTGGGACTGGCGAGATGAAAGGAGTGGCAAGCAGCAGCAAGCCCACTCACCCTGCTAGTGCACCCCGGAGGGCCGCACACTCCAAAAAGCAGTCTTTGATGGGCGGTCTGTGACAGCATGACAGATCTTCCGTGCATAAGGAGATAGCTCAAAGCGCTTGCGCGCCATGCACACACACACATGGTGAAGACGGCGCCGGTGGCTGCCCGGTGTTGAGCTGGTGTTGAGTGAGCGCAGGTTGGATTGTTGTCGTGTGTGCGGCAGCAGGAGGTAAGGTACGAGGAGCTCAAAGCGAGTTGAGAGTTGCGATGCTTAAAAGAGGCTTGTGTGGAGGTCGCCAAATACCGCAGAAAGGGGGCGATAATTGCTGTGAACATGGAATAAAGAACATGGAATAAAGAACGCGGAATAAAGAACCTTGGAAAGAACTGTGCGTGCAAACAACACTGGGCACGCGCGAAAGCAGCCTCCTTGAAGTCAAAGGGGTCTAGATTTGGAGCGCAGCCGAAGATCAAAGTCCCACAGGCTGCCCAAGACGCACAAGCACGGGACTATCTAAGTAAAATAAAATGGACACCTCTATCGACTAAAGGTACTCGTGCACGGTGCCAACGACTGTGCATACGTTCACCTCGGTCAGAGGATGCAGGAAGTGCTTGTAGTACACAAGATAGTGACCGAAGTAGAACACGACGATGAAGAGGGTTGCTGGTGCGGCCAACACTTTTGAAAAATGAACATTCATGTAAGCATTGGCCAGCACGGCGATGCTCCAAAGCGCAATGGTGTAGCAACCGTCGGAGAACGATTCGGCGGCAAACATGCCGTCGTGGCACAGAAGGGGAAAGGGAAAAGCGCCGTTACCGGAAAACGTTCCGTTGCGGAATGGGCTGCCATGCGAGCAGGCCGCAGGAATACGACGACCTTGCCGGCCTGGCCGGTGCCATCAGCAGCGGGCTCCGGGAAGAGGGGGCAGAGGCACCCAGCCCAGCCAATGCCGAAGCGGAGCCGGCCGCCAGCCACCCCTCCGCCACCGATCTCGGCGTGGACGAGGATAAAAAGGGTCCGGCTCTCCGCCCGCAGGCGCATTTTGTATGTACCGACGAGGCGGTGCCCGGTGCCGAACCTTGAGACAGCACATTGTAGATCCCTGGGTGCCGAACCTTGAGACAGCACATTGTAGATCCCTGGGTGCCGAACCTTGAGACAGCACATTGGAGCGAGTGACGGGTAATCGTGGCCGTGGCCAAGAAAGAAAGGGTGTATTAAATAAAATAAAAGCTTTCAAAAGGGGCGCAAGTTACGCGGCGAGGGAAAAGGGAGCAAAGAGGGGCAGCAAAAGGGACAAAAGGGACGCAGTGACGCCAGCGGCTGGCAGCGGTGGTCAGGGCGACCAAAAGGAAAACAGACGGGGTGCGAAAGCCTAACCTGCTTTCTAAAAAAGAAAGAAAACGGACAACCTCCCATCCCGCCCTCCGCCCTCGCTCTCCGCCCCTGCCCTGGCTGGCCTGGGTGGCATCTCCCCATTATCACGCGCCAAGTGGGAGGGAGGTGGACGGGGCCCTGAGCCGACCTAGCCCTAAACGGAATGGGGCGCCCAACACGTGCCCGGATTACTGTGCCTTCCCCGGGTGCAGCCTTTCGGCTCGTGAAGGGTCGGTGCGTGTCGTGATCCCCTGGAACACCCGTACTCTCCCGCGCCATCTCCATCGCCCTCTTCGGCTGCGGCCTTACCACCAAGATCGGGAGGCGGCCAGGGCTCATAGACTCGGTCGAGAGACCCCAGATTGGCATCCATGCCTCTCTGGACAGGGTGGCCCGCCACAACGACCCCTGGAATTGCGACTCGCCGCTTTCCTCCCGCTGTGATTCTGTGTGAGCTCTGTGTCTTGATTTGCCAACAATATACCTACTACCAAGGGAGGGATGGACGAAAGCGAGCAAAACGGTGAAGCGCCGCGTGCGAAGCTCTTGCCGCGTTGGCGTTGAAGACGGAGGCGCGCTGCAGGCTCGGTGGAGCCACACAAGATAACTCGCATTACCGATTCACGCAAGATGTCTCGCTTTGCCTTCGCCGGCGATGGCGCCTACCCCGGCGACGGCGGTCGTGAGCTGCAGCGGCTCTGGATGCTCGGAACTTGGCGGCCGCTAAAGCAATGCGACGGTCGCTACGTGAGCCGGAACGTGGAGTGGTCGGCGCTGGCGCTGCGAGAGCTCTGCGAGTCAGTGGGAGTGACTGCAGCGGGCCACGTTGTCACATGCCGCGAGGCGGGCCCGCGTGACGACGAGGTGCAGTGCGTGCGCCTCCGTGGCGGCGGCGGCCTCCTCACCTACGCAAAAGAGGCGGACGGCGGCGTTGCGCGACACGTACACACGCTCAACACGGAGAGCGGTCTCGCCCGGAAGCTGCTCGCGCTCGGCGGCGGTGCGGATGGCAGGCTGGTCCGCGCGCTGTCGGACGCGAGGGCGGCGCACCTCTTCTCCTCGCTTTGCCGCCTCCTCGAGCGAGTCGAAGAGCCCGCCCGGACACAAGCGGCGCCGCCTCTCGCCACGGCGCTGCGCCTCGCAGCGGCGCGGGTGGGAGCGCATAGCGCCGGTTGTCCCGCTCCAGCGGCTCCTGCTCCAGATACATCTGCTGCCGCGGCACCTGCTGCGCCCCTCCTTCGGCTGAGCCTCGTGGGGGCGCACGGCGTGCTGCCCTCCAAGTGCAGAAAGTGCGACGTCGACACGGTCGTGCTCGTGGCGCCGACTCATGCGGCGATATCGGAGGTGGCCGTGCGCAAGCTGCGCCTCAAGTGCAAGGAGCGTGGCCGAGTCCTCCTCACCCTCAAGAAGGGCAGCGGTGCCCTAGCCGCCGGCGCGGTGCTGCCGCGGGAGGAGGCGGACCTGCACGCGTGGGGCCTCCGCAACGACGCGGTCGTCGCCGTGAGCGTGGCTGACGCGGGACCACCACCACGGAGACAGTCACAAAGTGAGAAGTGAGTGAGTGTAGTAGTCCGTGCTTCTTAAACAGATGGTCGTCGTTTTCTTTTTTCAGAGTCGGAGAGTGTTAGTGCCACACCCTAGTCTGGGCCGCTTGGTTTTGTTCGTGTGCGCCAGTCTTTCCCAGTCTCGTGCCTAGTCGCTAGTGCAAACGAAATGAAAATAGAAAAACCAAAAAGAAAGAAAAATAAATTGCCTCAAATTCTCAGAAGTTTTATTCTCGCAAGACATGCCAGAAATAAATAAATAAATAAAAACGGACACCTCTCTACTGTGAGATGGGTAAAAAGGAACAGGTCCCCGCCCTTGCGATCTTTGTGCAGGGTTCTTTGTGGGTGTGGTCGGCGACTAGAGCCGGGGTCGTCCTCCCCGCCGATGGGGGACTAGCACTAGCCGTCTTCCACATGGTCCCTCGGGTCCCTGCTGCTCCTAATCTCTTCGTACATCCTCCTGCTGATCTCCGCAAAGTCCTGCTCCCTCCCTCGTCTCGCCCTGCGCGTCTGCTCCGCCTCACCGTCTTCTGCCCTGCGTCGTCTGGCGACGGGTCCTCCATAGTCGGTCGAGGTCGCCGCCCTCCTCGTGCCTCTTCCCAACGTTCCCTCGGCGGCCGATGCCGTCTGCTCCGGCTCCCCAGTCCCCGGGTCTGCCCTGCTCTCGTCTGCGCTAGTTTCTGCTTCATCCACACCAGCGTCTCTCCTCTTCCTTCTCCCCTTCTTGTATGCTTTGCACATCGCGTCGATTCCTTTTCGCGTGAGCACCAGCCTGAAGCCCGCCCAGCATCTGAACCGCTCCCTAAGTCGAAGGAGCATCATCAGTCTCACCCACTTCGCTCTCTGCCCACCGTCTCCGCTCCCTCCCGCTTGAGCCGCCGTCGCGGCCCTCGTTCGTCCCACTGGCTGCTGGCCTGTCTGCACGTTACCTCCGTTATCCCTCCTCCTCTGCCTCTCCCTCAAGGCCGGCCGAGCCTCTTTCCACCCAGTGAAGAGCTTCCTCAGCCACTCGATGTGTTCCTCTCTCTTCATTATGCGCGCCGTAGCCTCATCATTGAGCTGGATCCACCTCTGCACCGCGCCCGTCGCCGCCTCGGCCACGACTTGCAAGTTCCTCGTGACCCCGGCGCCAAGGTCCCTCCGGCTCTTCTCCGAGAGATCATCTACCAGCGCCGGCAACACCCCCCCGACGGCTGGGGCTAGTGCATCGTACCCAAAAGACATGCCAGAGACTCGGAGCGGGGCATCCAAAACAACAGGGCGGAAGGGAGGGGTGACCATACGCGCAGCGCAGGAGGGAGTGCCCCTAAGGGGGCGCAAAGGTAGCTGCCTCATTCTGGAGTGCGTCGTGGGTCCGGGGGTGTGACTCTTGTGTTTAAAACAGGAAAAAGACAAACACCAAAAGAAAGAAGCCCCGCCGGTTCTTGCCCCCCCCCCCTCCCCCAGCTAGGCGCTAGCAGGTTGCGGACGCGGATGCGGAATACGAGCCGTGCTTGGCGGTGTATCAGGCGCACTGCGCCGACCCGCTAGCTTGTGTATATTCTCTGCGGACGAATCTGGGTGTGACTCTCACACTCTCTCCGCTCTCTCGGGCCGAGCGTTTTTGATCTCTGGGTCAGTGGGGGGCCGAGCCGCCTCGGGGTGGCGGGCGGGCGGGCGTTTTGAAAAACAGAAAACAGAAAACAGAGGGGGGCCAGGGCCCCCACTACGATTAGACACACGCACCTGGCTCCTGGGACAAGGGGCGAGAATCGCGCAGCATGCAGTTCAGCGGAGATGGGAGAAGCTGAGAAGGGGGGGGGGGGGGGGCAAGGGGGGGGGGCAACTTCCCCACACGGCAGCTTGGAGCTGACCCCAGGAAAAAAAACGAGAACAGCGATGGCCCCCCCATATGACCGTAAACAAAAATGACGAGCCCACAGCGATGCACCGGCAGCAAAGGCGGCAAAAAGGGCCCGGACCCCCGGGGGGCAGCAAAAACATCGGCGGACGGGGGAGCACACAAAACACCTCGGCATAGGAGCCAGGGGTGGGGGCTGGGCCTGCATCATGAATGGGCCTGATAGCGACGGCGGCAACCTAGGCAAAACGGCGGCAAGGGTGGCAACGGTCACCATGTTAAATACCACGATGAAGCTGACAAAATGGATGACCCCCTCCCGCAACAATGGACATATCCTCAATGTCGTCGCCCTTGCCGGAAGGGGC